AAAAATTATGGCCCGCGTAAATAACAAAGTGGCTAACCCTGCATTAGAGTACTGTTTAAAACACAACCAGAAACTCTGACTAAAATATATTCAATTGAACATAATTTCATACAATTCCAAATTGCTAAAGATATTAAACAAAAATAATTCAATATACAAACGTTCAATCAACAGTCAAAATTCAGTAGGTATGGAATAGAGTTAGCTCTCTGCGGATCTAAAGTAAACTAATTTTTTTAGGGGGTGGTACTAAATCAATGATTCCCAATCTGGGGGCGTAAACACATTGATTAAGAGACGCTATCAGGGCCGTATTTAGAACTAAAATTTATATGCTTAAATATATGTATTAAGTTATTTTTATTTTTTATTTATTTTACAGTCTTACACAAATTAATTTATTATTTCATTATAATATTTACACCTATATTTTCTGTTTTAGAATTATAATTATTATCAAAATAATAAGTGTATTAAAACAAAAATGGTCAGAATAAAAATAAAAAAATTGGGAATCACTCTACTTGATAATTTAATTTGCCACTTACCGAATAACACTCAGCTCACCATTGTAGTATACAACACGAGTATAAACACGTGAATAGTGAATACATTGATTTTCGATAAACACGTGGAAATAGAAACCCCGAGACCTTGCAACTTCCCATCGTCAGGTACTTTTCATCCTACCGTATTTAACATAATATTATGTATTACTTGATGTAGTGTATCCGTTGTATTTTCTCGATCCTATAATAGTTTCCTGAATTTTATGTATCTATAACACTAACATACAATATTTAAATAAGTTTTAAACATTTTTTTTCGAAATTTCTATATTTTTTTTTATAAAATTGTTTTTATTCTTTTTTTTTCTTTAAAAACACTTTTTCAGTGAGTAAAATACACCACAGTATTTTATTCACCTATATCATACATTTAGTAGGTAGGATAATATGTGAAATTTCCTTCCAGTGTTACTTTATTTGAACAAAATGTCTAGATTCAGTTATGAAAAAAAAAATGAGCTGATACGGGGGTGGGTTCAGTCACTGTTGTATGTAGATAATTGAAAACTTGGAACGGTAGGATACATAACGTTGTTTAATTTATACATATAACCAACGATAAACCGTTGCAAACGAAAAACGATTCGGAGTGTAGTTCGGAGTTCAAAAAATTGAATAGATATTAAAAAAAAAAAGATAATTGTTTTTAAATAATTCAATAAAACATTGCGGTTGCCTACGCAATAAACATTAGTAGTAAATATGTGCAAATATAATAATATATTAAATAATATTATAGAAATGTGAAAATGTAATACCTACCTAACGAAAATGTTTAATTTGTAAGTTATTAATGTATACAATAGTTAATATTAATTCAAAAATTAAAATTAAAATTCCTTTTACTTTGGTTACACGATTTTATTTTGTGTAAATTATTTAATAACAGACATCTATAGGGGGCAACTATAGACAATTATTTCGTTTTTGTAACACGTAAAAGTGTCGTACTTTTCGGATTTGAGTGTCGTGGATCGTTATCTATAGAATTTAGTAGTGTATAACCGTCATTGATTTAAATACGAAAGTTAAGTTAGTAACTAGCTTAGGTAACTAAATTCACGAATTGTTTACGATATTAATTTCTTCTTTTAGATTCAAAATGTAGCGAAGTACCTATTAGTTTTACTCTGATATATATTCGTTTTTATTTTGTAATTGTAAACAACTTTTCGAAAATAAATCTTGCTCCGATGTACATAGTGTAGCACTTTTTTTGAAAGGAAATTTTATCTAGTCGGTTGTCTAGTTGTTATGAAGGTCATTTTTTGATTTTTCGGGGGTTTTCAAAATAATTAAGAAAACCCGAGAACAAAATTATAGATAAAACGGCAATATTAACAGCACACAGGGGACTGAAATGAAAATTAGCTCGCATAAATGAATACCTCTTTTATTTTAACAATTTTTTAAATATTTTACATCAATTTATAAGTTTTAAGGGTCACTGAACCCAAATTTCGCATCAGCCTTTTTATTTATTTACTCTATAATTATTATCCCAATTTTTTCTAGAATATATTTCATATATTTTTTAAAATATAAAATCTCGACTAAACACTCTGTGAATTTAGAGGCCTATTGTTTCTCTATTGTTATAAATACTTACCTTGTTCTCGAGAACTCATTTTAACAAAACAAAATAAACACCAGTTCACATCCGTAATCTAAAGTAAAATAGCAGGTATTACGTGCAATTGATGTAAAATATTTAAAAAGACCTTTTTTGTTCAATTTTGGACCTGGATGCTCATGATTTTTGATTTTCTATGTAGTTTTCATAATAATTGGGAAAACCAGAAAAAGACGTAAAATGACGATTATTTATATAAGTAGTACCATTTTACTACTTATAAACATTTTTAATAAACATTAAACATGTATAAACATTTTTTTTTTTTATTTTATTGTCAACAAGATTACTCATAATCGGTCCATAATTCATTTCAAATATCATATCACATGTAGTAATATCATACATTTTCAGGAGGTGGTAAACATTTTCCTGTGGGGAGTAATACTCCTTTCCGTTACCACCCTAAACTAAACACTTATTGTCTCCCTTTATTTGCTTTTGAAATCTATATCTCTAATTTCCACAAAAAATATACACATTTTGTTGGTTTTAATTTCTAAAAATGGCTATAATCCCTTCCATTGTCCTTTTTCGGCATGTTTTAATTGTTCTATTTGTAAATTTTCGGCTGAACTCTTAATAGATGATGTTTATAAAAATGCTTATTTTGATCAGTATATATTAACTATGGTAAGATATGCAGATATTTTACGTTTTTATGTAATATTAATCGTTATTTGGTAATAACTATACATACGAATAATAGATACTATTATACACCATGAACTAATAAGGTACAATGCGTACTAAACATCTAAACAAGAACAACAATATTACAAATGTGAGCCATTGGTAAACGATAACCATAAAAAATGGACATAATTCGCACGTGATTGGGCCACAGTTATAGATATGAAGTTCGGAAGTTAAAGAGGAAATTGAATAGATATCTCTGCGCAACGATTAACCGTTACTAACGAAAAACGATTCTGAGCATAATTTTTTTTAAATAAATAGCAAATAGTGTTACAAAAACAAAACAGTTATACACCTTTGTGTGAGTACAATTATTACACATACGAACAATAACTATGCCAACTTATAAACAGCTTTTCATCAAGCTACTGTTGGCCGTTGGGCTTCAACGCAATTAGAATAGCGATCAACTACAGCTGCAGTCTGTTGATAACATTTAATTTTACATTAATGGTTCAATAGGTAGTTGTTTATTACAATCATAGTTAATAAGCGATTTAATTATTTTAATTAATGATTACAAAATACGGCAATGATTTCTTATCATTTTAGCTGACTGACAAAAAAGAAAATTATCAAAATTGTATAGTGTAAAATTTTCTTTATAGATCTTGGATTTAATGTACCTTCTACCTATTATAGATAATAATAATATACCTATGTAAATTCTTAAAAATTAAGTTGGGTAATAATATATAGTAGTGACGAATATCCCAAGGGGGAGGGCGATCAGCCAATCACCTCCCCCCTCGATATCCGCCACTGCCTTTCTATAGGTAAACTTTTTTTTTATGTTTCAACAAAACGCATGCAATTGGGCACAGGGTAACGGCTCTTATGGATCCACGGACTTTTTCAAAGCCACCGAAACAAAAACAATATTGCAGCAATGCCGTCGTATTTATAAATTATAATAATATACAGAGCGTCCCATAGTGTTTTCCAAATGTTAATATTTTATTTTTTTCAACCGGGCGTTGTGGTATCAGGGACACGCATATGTAAAGAAAAATTTCATTTTTATTTTCATCATTTATCCAATCACTGATATTTTTAATTTGTTCACTTTTCAAAGTATCCATTTTGTAAAAAGATATTATAAATTTGTATGCACTACACTTTCTCACATCCAATCAATTAGATGTTTTGTGTAATAGCCATTTTAATTTCAAGAGGAGTTGCATTTAACAAGCAAAATGATATTCAATAGGTTACTATTCCATTACGCGATAAGGAATCACAATCTCAGCACTATAATAAAATCAAGGTGGATAATTTTATACTGCGAATAACAGAAATGAATACATCTTCTCTAGAAATTAAAACAGCTATTATTAAAAAAATGATTTATCGAATATACCTGTATTATGGTACATTAAAATGTACAAAATAATATCTATTACAAATCGGCTATTTTGAACATTTCGAAAAGTGAACAAATAAAAAGTTGTTCTTTTCTAATGAATATATAATGGGAATAATAAAAATTTAATTTTCCTCTAAATATAATATAATAGGTATGTCCCGGGGATAATTAATTTCCCTCAAATAGAAATTCCGTTTGAAAAAAAATAGTTTAATATCAACAAAATTATTGACATTTGGAAAACATTGTGGAACGTACTGTATTAAAGCATATGCACCTCAGTCGTATAAACTAGGAATTTAAAATTGTTTTTCTCCATTTTGACGGTGTTTATATTATAATCTCAAAATTGTTGGCCCGATTTCAATATTATACTCGTACTTTAATAAGCGGTAATTTTACTTCGTCCGCTAGTTTAGCATGCTAAATGCATTTGATGTGCCTTTGATAGTAATAGTGTTAGTGAACACTACTAAAACCACTTCAAGAACATAGGAAGAAAACAGTTCAATTCACAAAATCAACTCCTTTTTTTAACTCCTTCCCAAAAAAAAAAAAATCTTAAACAAAGTAGGTAATTTAAAATTAATGTAAATGTAAAAGTATTGCCAATTACAATAATAAATGCAATTTTTTTTTAACTTAACAAAATTCGAAATAATATATTCGATATCCATATATTTCTGATTATACTCATGTAAAAAGACGATTAAAATAAAATCGGAAAAAAGCCATGACCCAAGAAATGCAAAATAAAGGACCAACCATCTTTTCTCACAGTAGCGTAATTACATGGGTCAACGACGATGCACTTGCAACCCCTGTAATTATCTAACGGATGCAAAGATATTGGTGATTATAAACTACCCCAAAGGTAAACTCGAAATATATATAAATATATGTAAACTGTAATAAAAGTATATTATACATACCTAATAATGAAAAAAATGATAAAAATCTGATACGGATCATAGATGTACCATTTTTTTAGTGTCTTAAGAGGGGAGTTATATATTTATAATATATCTATATATTAATTTAATTTATACCTATATGAAAACAACTATAAACCATATTTATGTATAACGAAAAATGATTTTGAGCAAAGTATTATTTTATAATTGTATTTTTTCCTTTGTTGCCGGGGTAACCTATAAATCAACAAAACATATTTTGAAAGTTGCCAGTCTTTCTCATTCGTTAAGAAAACTACAAGGAAAATACAAAAATGATATCCCTAATACATCAAAAAACGTTCCCTTACAATTTTTGATTGGAGTAAAATTACAGATATAAAAGTGATTTGCAGACAAAAAAAAAATTCACCAATGTAAAACTAATACATTCCTCGCTTCGCTCAGAATCAAAAGAAAAACTGTACAATTTGAAATAATAATAGTCATCATTCGATTGCGATATAATGTTATCATTATGTATTAACTCGATAGCTTTTAGATTGATTTGTTGAGCCCGAATACAAAAAATGTTGTTCATTTATATACCATAGATGATGTTCATCAGTGATTATAATGATTGTACCATACCAAGTTCAAATTGCATGACAAAAAATTCGTCTACCGGTGTCCGTTTTTTGGGATTGTATTATCAAACTCTGTAGGTGGCATAAATAATTTGTTATTAGTGGTTACCTATGTATTTATTGGGCCAATGGAGTATTTGCATCTACTGAAATTTTGTGGAATTACGCCAATGCTTTCTTGTTTGCATTTTACGCATATCGTGACTCGTTAAAAAAATTATTTGAATGTTTCTGTATGTCAGCGGTTCCCAAAATGTGCGCCGCGTCACCATGTAAAATATTTACTGATCTAAAAATAAATTTGAAATCCACATGACAACGAAAACGGTGACGCAACTGCCCTTTTTTTTTTATCCAAAAACCCTTTATCGGTTAGTAAAATTACTTCAAATTATTCACACTGTACCTTAAAAGATGTATATTTTTTGTCCAGTGACACTTATCTAATTTTTTTAAAAAAAACGTCTTGATTCCAACAATTTTCTTAAAATTAAAAAAAAAATGACAATTATTGTTCATACATCGGTTTTATTTATGTTGATTACTGCACGGTTACCTTGACTATACAATGTAAAAATCGCAACTGTCAACAACTAATACTATTCTGCTCAGAATCGGTTTTAGATTGCAACGATTTCCAAGGACGCCCTAAGAAAACCTTAATTCATAAAAAGCATCACGAGTCGAGTTTGGAAACCACTGCAATATGTACATTCAACATTGGAATTATGGAGGACTGCCGAAACCCATATTATTTATTTTTAAAATAGGAACGCATAAATTCAGGAGAATTTACAGCGGAAGGCGAGGGGTAAACCCCCAGAGAACTTTTGCTATGGAGGCAGTTATCCCCATTGTTCCGACGTCCCTGGTACATAAAAAACAAACGATTGAACCATTATCGTGTCAATTGCAAAATCGATACCCATCGACGAATCACCGTCATGTTGAGTAGGTATAAATTATCTGATTTTTTTCCTCGGCCTTTTGAAAACTACTTTTGATTTCATTCTGTCCCGCCGTTAGACGATGACCACGTGAAAATAACGTGCTCAACCAAATTAAATATGTCGTAGTCGTTCGTCACGGCAGTAAATGTACTTTCAATTTTCACGTAAATTCAAACAACAAACATAATAGGTATTATTATTATCACTCGGTCGCAGCTCGACGCCGCCGTGACATGGGATCCGGGCATCGATTCGGGTTTCGCGCGTACCTTGTGCGTGCACGTTATCTGTCCGAAAACAGCTGATCCGTTGGGTCCGATTGATTCTAGAATTTTCGTTTTGTTTTGTTTTTTTTCAACCCTAGTTAACGCACCGTCATCGTGGGTTAACCGAACGCGTGTTTTTCCGCCATGACTCGTACACTGTTCCACCGCCCCCACCACACCCATCGGAAATTCGTTTTCAGCGGTACTATCATTTCTGTTCGTTCCCGTTCCGTGGTCGTCGGCACTCGACTGCCGTCGTCGCTACCACCACCACCCGCCGGCCAGTCAAAATCGTAATCGCCGTACCCGGACAGTCGTGTCCTAGTCCGTGTTATTTCCCCCTAAACATCTGATTGATAGGTGCGTATTCGTTCTTTGTTTTCGCGACGTAGTGGAAACTTCGAGTGATTACACGGGGACACTCGGTCCTTCGATATTGATTCACGGTGGGAAGTCTGCCAGTCGCGCGGATTTTGTCAACGGCCGTTCATACCACGCAGCAACCCGCTCATACGTTCCGATCCCGCAGAACATCCGGTAACTAGGACGACTACAAAATCATGACGCGGAAATGAATTCCCGAGCAACATCACCGATAAACAACTTCGTATTCGAATTCCGTCTTTTCATCAGCTAACCGGAAATCCACAGTTCGTATTTTAAAAGACAAATGTCCTTCTTTTTTTCCGTTCAGTACCGAAATTTACTTTGTGTTTATATATTATATAGGTGTTTATATATAAATAGGGTACTCAGTTATCGCAACAAAGAGTCTCCGAAACCAATGTCAACATGAAAAGAGATTTGGCGAAGAAGTTGATCGAACGTTATTTCTATTTGATAACGGAAGGCTGTGGCAACAACGAATGCGTTAACGATTACTGCGCTTCTAGCAAACGGGTGCGTGTATAAATATATTATATTCTTCTATACATCTATTCAGATTTTCTCTTATTTTGTTTCCCTAGCCTGTAACCGAATCCCCCGTCCATCACCTTTCCAAATCCCCCGGTTTCCATTAATGTACGAGAAGGAAGAATGTACGAATAACGTTAACGTTATTTACCGTACATCCCTTCGTTACTTTCTTATTAAACGTTATAGTTATTATTTGGACAATTAAAATTTGATTTACAGTAAAATCAAAATATAGCGACCAACTTATTCTTAAACTTCGTACCTACTACAATATTATCTACAAAATAGGAATATAGGTAATATGATGGCACTCTGATTACATCCAAAATTTTGCTTACAATATATATTAGATTAGATTTAAGATCATTTGACTTATTTATAGATTGTGTAAGTGAATTAATTGATTTTAGCCATAAGAAAATAATAGAATCTTACACCATTTATGTATTGATCTGTGTACTGATATAAATAAATAGATACCTTAGCATTCCAGTTATAATCAATATTGTATGTAACAGGACTATTTACCGATTGAAATAACTTTTGATTTATTCAACATTTTTTCTTTATTTGTTTTTTTATAACGATTAGTATAACTCTGTCCTACAATTAAAATATTATTACGCCTTTTTTAGGTGAGAGGAATTACAATAAGAAATTTAAAATTTTACTTATTTTTTTTTAAGAATTCAAGATACAATTAAGTATTAGTGATAAAGATGCTAATAAAAGATAACATTTTATAAAATGTTAAAACTTTTGTTTATTGATGATCATTTACTTTGTAAGATTTTTTAAAAATGTAAATCATTTTTTTTTCTATCGTTTTTTTAAATTTGCTATTATCTGACCGTGCTCTGTTTACTGATTAAATATGATAAAATATAAATTCACATTTTAAAAAACTTCAAGAAATCATAAAAAATAAATGGCCATTCATAAAAAAAACATTTACCAAAAATCTATGTTACAAAATGGATATCTTGAATTTTTTTTTTTTTAAATATAGTTCTACCCTTCACAAAGACCTAAACATAGAATCATTTGTTAATCTAGTTAAAACATACTACAAAAAGTTCCACTCAAAATTACTTCTCCATCCCAACCCACTAATCGCGAATCAACACACGGTCACAATCCCCGACAATCCCCCTCGTCATCTACAAAGACGTTGGTGTCGAGACCTACTGATTTGAAAGGCGCGCTGACTTGGCAGAAATTCCGGAAAAAATAGGGGTGTAACGTCATAGGGTCCTATCATTGAATAGCTTCCCTTCTCATTGTCCCTTCCCGTCATAAATTGTGTGTCATATTTGCTTATTGTATTTGTTTTTTATATACAGATTGTAAATGTCATTTTTTAATAAAAAAAAAAAAATATAGTAAAATTTTAAATTTTTTATTTAGTTAATTTTAAAAAAAATTTAAAATATTGAATTAGACAAAAATTATTTCAAGTTGTAAATAGTCCTATTATACTCTGTATAATTAGTATTCTTGTTTACCTGAAGATCATTATAACTTATAATAATATTTAAATTTTTTTATAAATCATAATCTAAACTATATTAACTGAAAAAAAAAATTGTTGTCTATTTCAACAAAATATTTATATTTTTATCTTTATCATCAGTTTTCAATATATACCTTGTTTTTAATTAACCTTTCCATCGACAGTTTTATACAAGTTAATTATTTTATGTTTTATCATTGTTAGGCTTACTACACATCACAATAAGTCAATTAGTTTGTGAAACATTCGATCAACCGACTTTATGCGTGTATTAGTTCTTCATAGACCATCAACTACCTGAGTTATCATTAAGTAACTGTTTGGTAAATTTGTATATTTATAAAATTCTAGTTAGTCTAACATAATTAACTGAACCATTTTAATTTGGTAAATGCATGTAAAATGTAATAGGGGACTTATTATTTATGATAGATACTTCAAATAAAAAATATATATTGTAACAGCATCTCTATAATTTAATTTAATTAATATTTTTTTAATCGTGTAGTATATCTATGGGCATTTTCTATGTTTTTTTAGTATTGAATAACCAAAAATAAAAAAATGTTCACTAGGTAGTATCAGTAAGATTTTTATGTAATATTTACTTTACCAACTTTGCATACATTTAGAATATTCTTTGATTAAGTCTTAAATATTTTGTATTCAACATTTAAAACAATATTTAAGTCAACTAATTTTTTCTCTTGGTAGTTTTATCTCTTTATAATTTACAGGATTTCGTTATTACTATTAATACCTATTATTAATTGTTTCTTATTTTTATTTAACTTCTCATACTTGATTAAATATGAGTATGATTTGAAATAAGTTATGCTGCATCTTGTGTATTTTATCTGCAATTTAGTCTATAAAATAAAAAATTATCAACAAAATAAAATATAATCAAAAGTTAGGAAAAACAGATTTGTCTACAGAAAACACTACTAAGAACAAATCAATGACACATAATCTATAATATTCAATACAATTTCACATATTTAGTTTTGATTTTATATTAATAAACTGTTTTAAATGGGTGACTTGTACTTGTCATTAAAATACAAAGTATTTGTAATTGTATTATGACACAAATCTAGTCTACCAAATTGTGTGATTTAGAAATAAAAATGTTAACTAACGAAATAACAATTATTTTTAAAAGATTTACATTTAATAAAGTGTTTATAAGTAATTTTATAATAGCCTAATACTCGTTGAAAAGTAAATAAATACAATTGTAAAGATCTAAAAAAAAAACTGTAAGAATACTTATTTTTCAATTGAAACTCAATTCTAATTATGACTGATTTATTTGATTTAAACATTTTTAAATGTATTGAATGCATTTAGTTATAGTTACCAAATGTATGTTAATTATATGTTTAAACATTTTTTCCAGTGTACTAATGTAGTGTCTGCCAATGACGCAGCCGCTATCGCTATTCAGTTATTTCGTCTTGATGCCAGACTGTGTGATCAGCATCCTATGAAAGTAGCAAGAACCACTAATAACTCGTCAGTATCTGGAAATACATTGCATGAAGCTACTACATCAATAGCTTGCAGTAGCAATACCCAAGATTCTCAACGCTTATCCCATAATGCAAGTGTTCAAACAAATGCATGTACTGTATTCCAAGTAAATCCTGTACATACAACTGATTTATCTAGATCATTGTCAGATGCTCAGATTTCTCTAACTAGAACATGCTCTCAAACAGATATTAATAATAGTATTCCATGTACGGGGGAAAATAACACACCATGCCAACAAGCAATAAATTCTGATTTACCACAAGTTACATCATTTGGTTCTTCAAACAACACATCTTTCGAAATACTTCAACAACAAACAATAAGTGCCAGTTTACCTCAAATTTCATCATTTGGTTCTACAAACAACACACCATATGAAATAATCCAACAACAAACAATAAGTTCTGGATTACCTCAAATTACATCATTTGGTTCTTTGGTGGCCCAAAAACAAGATACAACAAAAAACGAAGATGGATTAAGAAATAATAAGAAAGAAATGAATCCTAACGATTACAAGATTGGCGATAATTTTGTGGACATTTTAAATGTAGGTTCATTGAGTATACCAGATTGCATAATGAATGAATTACGAGACATGAACATGGGCCTAATGGATACTATGAAGATGAAAAAGCCTTTAGAACATGTTGCGTGTTTTGAAACTGGTAATTTAATTATATTTTGTTAATTTAAAATTAAATAATTCTTTAGGTACGTAATTATAGTTATATAGTATGACATTTCCCTGTGTTTGTCTATCAGTAATTTTAACCATACCTATCCTATTATTTTTATTTTAATTATTTTTACAAGCACATTTTTATTACCTGTTTTGTATAAACAATTCAAATTTTAAAAATATTACAAACATGTTTCATAAACATTTTAATATGCACTTATAGTTTAATCAAATGCTGGAAAAATTATTTATAACTAAACTTTTTAAAGTTTTAAAATTTAAAAAAAAACCATTAATCCAAAATAACAAAATTTTAAATATACTATTTTATTTGTGAGTTTACATTTTAAATTTCTATTTGAAAATCTAAAAATGATATTGTTTTAAAAATAAGATAAATGATAAAAAAAAATTTCATCTTATAATAACCCTGTAAAAAAAAAAAAATATATTTACTGGAAACAAATATAGTAAAACGCTGTATTTAAGATAATATTTTTACATTGTAAACGTAGAGTCTGGTCTTTAAAAAATATTTCGAACTTGATTTTGATTTTTATATGAATAATTAGGTCAATGTTTATTCTAATTTTATTTAATTCGTGTTTTTATGAAAATCATATAGAAAAAATAAATAAAAATTTCTAATAAATACTACGCAAAAGGTCAACAGACAGTCTTTTAATAGCATAGGCTGGCACAATGTCAAATTATTATGATATTATAAAACCGCGTGTTGTAGTCATATTATCATGATATTTCTTACTATTAATCATTAAATTTTAATTCCATAATTAATTTTTTAAAGAAAAATCTAATCGACCAATATTCTATTACTTTAAATTATTAACATTATAAATATTAGTTTGTTTTTATAAAATAGTTTTTATACATAGACAAAGTAGGTACACATAATGTGATTTGTTTATAAATATTGAAGGTCCTTTCACCACTTGGCACTAATCCAACACATGCGTATCAGTTATTTATTGTGTTATTTTACAAATTTTGGCACCAAGCAAATATTATGTGTTTCTTTGTATGTGCTTTGTCTTAAATTCTACTTTTGTGAAGATAATCTATCCTATCCATGTTTTTACTATTATGTTGTGCCTGTTCATGAAATTTAATTCGGTTAATATAATGTATATGTAATAAAATGACGTGTGTTAAGAACGTAACAAACCAGAGTATTTTAATGTTAACAGGTATTAAGTATCTTAATGAAGCCAACGTGATTGAATTGGTTAACCTATGTAAAGGTCCACAGAAAGATAACAATCAACTATTATGTGCTTTGTATCAAGTATTCTCTTCACCAGAAGCATTGGGTAATAGTTTTATAAGACACTCTGAAGAATGCAAAAAAGACGTACTTAAGCTTGTTAATGATGTCAAAACTGCATCCCCGGGTACCAAAGAAAAAGTAAGCACTTTTTAGCACTCAAAAATTATTCATAATATTAATTTGGACATTTTTTTAACAGGTACATGAAATGGAAGTTGAAAAAGAAACATCTGATGACTGTATGAATGAAGAAGTTGTAGTAGAAGAACAGAACTGTGGAACAGACCATTCGTGTTTTGAAGTAATCAATATGAATGGTGAAACAGTTAATACAAATGGTGAAACAGTTAATACAAATGGTGAAGTAAACAATAAGAATTTTGAGACAGTTATAGTTAATTTTGAGTTAGACGAAGACAATTTTGAGAAACAATTGGATGTGGCGGGATTAGCTCGAGCATATAAACAAATGAGTTCCACCAATAATGAGGGGAACTTTAAAGATGTTCTGTGTATAGCCATTGGTTCCTTATGTGGTCAGTATCGTCACTATACATTTTTTAAATATATTATTATTTCAATAATCAATGTTCATATTTATTTTTAGCTAAAATTACTGTAGAATTACATTTTTTCAAGTCTAAATCATTTCCAATCAGTAACAAATATTTAGAAGAAGTGTTACATTCATTAAAAATTGTTTATGAAATGCCATGGTTAGACGACTTGGTATTTGTGGAACGTGTTGTTCCCAGATTAGTAGCAGCCACCTGTGTACTTCCTGTTACTGAACAAGCAAAACTTGCCAAATTCTGGTGTGAAATGTCTTCCGAAAACACATTGCGTCGGATATTACATTGTCTTCAAGAGACTATTACGTTTCAGCTTATTTCCACTGAATATGATTCAACTTTTCAAGATGAGACTGCTGTTGCATCTGCTACAAAAACTATGAAGGTAAAACAAAATTGCATGTGTAAATGCGCTTAGAATCATATATTTTAAAAATGTCAATATTACACATGCAATTTTAGATTCTAAGCAAAGTGAGAAATTTATTGGTTTTAAAATAATTGTTATTGTTATTATTATTTTATTTTTTTATTTGTGAACAACTTTTAACAGAAATCTTGCTCAGATTTTCAAGTGTAGCATCTTCCAAAATGAAATTTTATCTGGGTGGGGTACATTAGGTCATTTTTTGATTTTCCAAAATAATTAGGAACATTTACAAAATTTATTTTTTTCAGTTAACATTATTCAGACATGAAATTTGGACAGAAAACTTAACAAAATTTTCAAAACATTTTAGCGATTTTTGATTTTAATTTTAGATGTTTCTTACATAATTTTTATTCAGTAGGTACTCTGGATAAAATTATTAGACCAAACAGAAATGCTTGAAAATTTTACACGGGATTCATTGATAAGTCTTTGTGGTCAAAGTATCAACCTAAACTTATTTAGTAAGACATTTAATAGTTTAAAGTATGTAATATTATCCTTGGTATTTCATGTAAAATTATTCAAAAACCTTTTGTTCAAACTTCAATTAAAATCAGACAATATTTTGAGAAAAATCATCTAATTTACAATTTATCTTAAAAGATGTAGGTTGTTATTTGGAAAATCTATGGATTTAAAAATATTGTTTTTAACTACACTTAAAATTTTTTTAAAAAAACAGTATTTGGATACATGTATAATTTAAACATAAAAATGCGGTGACCATGATTAAAAGTTAACCTGTATAATAAATAATAAAAAGTCACTTGACTTTAAATTTTGACTATTACAAAATGTCCATGTAATATTTTTTGTGATTTTATAGATTCTATACTATGCAAGTATTATGGCTGGTGAATGTGACCAGAATATTACTGATTTGGAAGTAACAAAACCGCCCGAAAAATCAGAAAAGAAAACTGAAAACATCGAAGATGAAAATTTACTTGAAGATATTCTCATTAATTCAAACCCAAAGAATAAAATAATCAAAACTGATCCTTTAGCTGAAATTTTGGGTGTAAGTATAGATAATATAAAAACAAAATATATACATTACATATAGGTTTTTCCTAATGAGAACATTTGCTTTAGATTAATATTTTAGCTTGCCGCACCCCTTTAATACCTATATCAAAATTTTATAACGAGTTATTGAGTGATGCTCTTGAAATGGATGACGATTACCAGATATGGAGAGAAAATAGCATTGATAAATTCTCATTTATGTCTCATTCTTTCATACTTACTCCTTCTACCAAAACTCTTGGGCTTTACTATGATAATCGGATACGGATGTATGAAAATAGACGATTTTGTCTTATACAAACATTAATAGGCCAACCTACACATCCTTACTTAAAACTTAAAGTGAGAAGAGAATTTGTGGTCCAGGACGCTTTAGTTGAAGTAAATACTATCAATCACACATTTATCTTTCAATCTCCTTTTTTAATTTTTTTTTCTTTTTTTTTTTAAGCTTGAAATGGTTGCCCTACAAAATCCTTCAGATCTCAAAAAACAATTGGCAGTTGAATTTGATGGTGAGCAAGGTGTCGATGAGGGTGGAGTGTCCAAAGAATTCTTCCACCTTATTGTTGAGGAATTATTCAAGCCGGACTATGGTTAATATTTGTTTGAATAATTTTCAAGTTTTTTTTTTTTTCATTTTTTTTGTTTTTTTTTTATTGCATTAGGAATGTTTGTAATAATGAATTCTGATAGTGGAAACCCCACTTCTTGGTTTAACTCATTTTCATTTGAGACTGCTGCACAATATTCTTTAATCGGCCTTATAGTCGGCTTAGCAATTTATAACAACGTCATACTGAACATTAACTTCCCAATGGTTGTTTATCGTAAATTATTGGGGAAACGGTGTACATTCAATGATTTACAAGATTGGAATTTGGTATGGACTTGTCAAATTGTCTTATACAAAAATATTAGACATATATGTGTATATATATATAATTTTTTTTACATGTACAGGAATTGTATAATGGCTTAAAAAATTTATTAGACTACGAAGAAGATGACATTGAAGAAATGTTTATGCAGACTTTTAGGATTTGCTATAAAGATACATTTGGTGAAATTGTATATCATGATCTCATAGACAACGGAGACCAAATTACTGTAAATCATATGAATAAGAGGGTGAGGAACCTGACCCATCGAACCTGAACTATGTATTTATTTTTTAAATTTATATATTTTTCATGTCTGTTAGGAATTTGTAGATAAATATGCAGACTTTTTATTAAATGAATCAATTGGATCACAGTTTAATGCATTCAATCGGGGCTTCCAAAATGTTATGGAAGAATCTCCAATGCAATATTTATTTTGGCCTGAAGAACTTGAACAAATAGTATGCGGCAGTAAAGTAAGATCCCATACAATTTTACAGTTATAAGATATAATTGTCACGGACTTTTTATTCTCTCTAGATATTTGACATGTGCGATTTGGAAGAAACTACACTCTATGAGGGTGGTTATCGTAAAAGCACAGAAGTAATCAGATATTTTTGGAAATTCGCCCATTCTCTTCCTAGAGCCTCTCAGCAAAAATTACTTCAGTTCACGACGGGTAGTGATCGAGTTCCTGTTGGTGGTTTGGGTAAATTGAAACTGACTATTACTAGAAACGGTTCAGACTCTGATAGGTGTGTATTTAACTAAAATTTGATTGTTTTATAGTTCTCATGTCTTCCGTAAGATTTAAACGATTTTTTTTTTTGATAGGCTGCCCACTGCACACACCTGTTTTAATGTGCTATTGTTACCCGAGTATAGTTCTCAAGAAAAACTTGAAGAACGACTGTCAAAAGCTATTAACTATGCCGAAGGATTTGGCATGATATAAGATTAAATCAGTTGAGAAAACGCCTCCCACCTATGAAATGCGCTACAAATTTGGATATTTAAGTGCTAACAGAAAATTATTAGATATTAATGTATTGTTTTGAATTCCTGGATAATATCCTTTACTGTAATTATTATTATAAAGTATAATGTTCGATTAATTTTAATAAATTTATGTTGAATTATTATACATACATATACATACTTATTGTGTATATATATATATGTATAGTCATGATTTTAAAAAACATCTCATTTTATTTTAGTAAAAATATAAAAAAATAATACAATTTTAAATAAGTTTAAAACTTATTAGTAACACTACATTGTATGTAATTCATAATGAATAAAAAATTTCATTCGGTTTTAATCATATTTAATATTAAGTTTACGTAAGCACCGTATGAAAATTTCCAAAGAATAAACAAGTAATGTTAATTTTTATACATTTGTATTATTATTATTAACTATAAACAAGTAACAGTGAATAAAATATATTTTTATTTACTATATAGTGTTAACAATGAAAAAATACATTGATATAAAATTCTAAAGTGTCAACTTCAATGAAGTAGTAAAAAATATAAATTTATTTTGAGAATGTATGTTCAACTTAAGATTAAAAAAATTAACTCACAACCATCACAAAAAATAAAAATACCATGTATTAAATTAAGAAAGTAGTGTACATAGCCAAATTAAAGGTATTTACAGCTCGTCGTGTTGTACTTTAAAAGACTCCAATACATTTAAACGAATGCCCAAGTCTGCCTTTTTCTCATTTGTCATTGAACCTTTGAGAACATTATTTATGCGGACAGTTTCTGTGTGGAAAAACTCGTCACCTTTTTCTAAAGCTTTTCTCATAGTCTTTACATAAATTTCAGCTGATCTCTGTTTCTGCTTTCCCTCAATACTATCCCACAAGTTTTCAGCTTTCAATAATATATTTTTCCGCTGGTCCGCCAACTTTTCCTTGGCGAATTCTGCTGCTAGCTGATCAAATTTTTCTAATGTACCTGGTAATCCAATATATACAATTGTTTTACTGTGTTTACTGACAAACTTTTGCAATTTATCCTGGTTGAATTCTTCGTCAGTGAATGTATATGGCTCTGGCTGACCGGCGACAAATAATTTGACGACTGGAAAATCTTTTTTTGTCAAGCCATACCTTGATAAAAACCACACGTAAATATAATTTAGGCACACTGTAATTTTTACCATATAGGTAATTTATTATTCTTGTCAAACCTGATGGCCAAATCTTCATTGTCTTTGTCTCCATAATCCTTGACTGGCACTTCGGCCACAAGTAGCTCATCTATAGATTGATATACGGAGCTCATTTTTACGAACTCTTCGTGTTTGTCGCCATACGGGTAAGACACGTCGAATTTGACAATCGACACTTTGAACTTTGAAAGTACCTAAGAACCGAACAAGGTGAGAATCAAAAATTCAAAGACCAGAGGGAAAAGCTGGAATCGACAGACGAAACAATACAACTCCCAAAATCATGTCAAGTCACGTCATTTTTGTTTGTGTTTACCTTGTCGAAAGTGAACGAGTCCAGTGACACCACACCTTTTGACTGCGAAGCGTAGCACGCGCAGAAACAAGAGACGAGGACCAATAAGCGACGCATTTTATTGTTTCAGATAAAAATGTTTGTACAGTAAGAGCTTATGATGTAGTTGGACCACGTACGTGAAATGAAAATTGAAATTGCAATACGTAAGTATTGTTGTGACAAGGACAACACACCGGCTCGTAGAGTGTTCGTTGACCGTGATTCCGGTTTGATGATTACGTTTAAAATAATGATAATAGAGAAAGAGAAATTCCAACAAACCGGGAGTCGACGTAGTATCAAAGAATCTACGATTGTACCTCTGTGGTAAAAATATCAATAGAACCAACTGCAGAGTGCTTTACCGATAAACCGCGGAATTAGATAATTAGATATTATTATCATTTTGTACAAGTCGCTGTGACAGCAATTAACCGGCAAACGCTTGGCCGAAATTTTCGCGTTTGGCCGGCCGAAATTCTTGTCTATTGTTTAACTCTGAACACTTGTAATTTGTATTGGTCCTCTGGGAAGTCATGTCGGAAGATTCGTCGTCCGAAGACGAAATCACCAAAAGGATACTCCGAGACTCTGTCGACACTGATCTGCTGACCGACGACTTGTACAAAAATGGCAGTACATCCGGCAAGAAACCGTGTGACAGAATTAAAAGTCAGTACCTACCTAATTCTGTATAACTTGTACCATTTTTTAGGAACAACAAATTACCCGAATTTTTCATATAAAACCACTTTACCGGGCATCTTTTTATAATATATTTTTTTTATGTTGCGAACAGCGAAATCAGAATTAAGAGGAAACATTTTAAAGTTATAGCCATTTGAAATTAGTCGTTTTTACAGTTTTCCTAAAATATCTAAATTTTCTATATAACACTGTGGTGCAATGCGTAAATGTGGCTCACATAGAATCTTTAGTATAGGGTTCGATACTTACTACATGTTTACGAAAAATGTTTGTGACCTTTTTTTTTTAGGTTAAACTCCTTTTTTTTGTCTATGCACTATTAAACATTTTTTTTTTACCCCATTTCGTTTAAAACCACTCGAACAAGTAAATAATACCACCAGGTCTCTAGGTACACCCAAAATGTATTATATTGTATCGTGTTGTATGTCTTTTCCTTGTTATAATCAAACACAAATTTTTTCAAACACTTGAAAAAAACTAGGTGCCCGGTAAAGTAGTTTTATTCTGAATTTTTTGTCACTGTTTAATACAAGCTACGAATCAAATACACATTTTACGAAAAACACCAATGACTAATTATACCATGGTTCATATAGATAACAATTAAATACACAATACAGACTTCTCGATTTTCTTCTTAATTAATTGCTTTAAACCATTTATAAGTTAATATCACCTATTTATACTTGAATTAATAGGTTTTATTTGGCTATTTCCAAAATGAATTGATCAAAATTTTTCTTTTTAACAAATTTGAGATAATTCTTTATTATGGTTCATATGACGTGTTTTTAATTTTAGATACTAACTTGGTGCAAACAAAACAATCGTTAAGGTATATTATTGAAGATGATGGCCACAATCATAATTTTATTAAGGTGACTCCGGAATTTCAAGATTTTGTTGCTAAAAACCTATTCAAACATTTAGAGAGGTAATATATCTAGTACCTACTTATAGATTGTAATTAATAATATAAAATTAAAAATTGAGTCCTAATTGGTCTATACGACAATCATTCATTTACAATTTAACAATTAACAACAATAGCATATCATAATAAAGATAATGTACAATATAGTAACATTTGTATGCCTTAATAACAATGTTTATTATAAAATTGTTAACTAATTGATTTTTATTTGATTATAGTCAAATAATTGAAAAAACAATAAAGAAGAAACACAAAAAAGATATTAATGAAGTCTATCCAAAAGGTATTCATTTATTCAACAGATCTACTAAATTACTAGATTCTTTTATGGATGAACCACTGATTACGGTCAAACGAAAACGCTGTGATAAAAGTACCAGTGATAAACTTATAATGCAACGTGCTTCAGAAATGGCTGTATCACCTGAATGGATATTGAACAAAGATGCAGTTGAAGGCTGGACAAAAGTAACCAAAGGCAAAATTATAAAAGTGAAACCCAACGATGAAGGTACATATGATGTGGTCAGCCATGAGTAGGATTTAATGATGGTATATGAATTTTATCGCCTTGAGACTTAATATACCTCACCCTCCCCAGTCTAGTGTCTCCCAAAACACGCTGATAATAGACATAAAAATGATCTCGCATTCCTTTCCAACATCTTTACAGTTAAGAGATTCTTCTCTTTTTCTTTAACTTTTAAAATACCATCTTGGCCAGGTGTCAACGTTTGTATGGAGAAAAGTTAAAATATATTTTGTAATACAAAACAAAAATAAAATTATGGATTACCTTAGTGACATAAATAAGAAACATATTATGTTCATGGTTTTATATCCTGGTAATCCTGGTAATCCTTCTCCATGGTTTCAATCCGTAGATTGGTTTGCAGCCATCTTTCATTCTTCTCTATTATCCACTTTTCTTTTCATTTCTACTTATGAATTGCGTCCTTGGTCCTTTATTATCTGTGGAATATACTCTAATCTTGGCCATTTCCTACGGTTTCTCTACGCTTCCTTATATAATCAGTTTTAACAATCTTTCGTGTCACATATGGTCTATCCATTAATTTTGTCATCTAACTATGTTTCTCCATAATAACTTTATTCTGGTAATAAGCTATTAAAAATGAACATAAAACATATAATACATTATTAATATAATTGTGTGTATATAATGCAATATTTAATTATTTATTAGTATTATTATATGTTTTATAATTTTAATAAAACTTAATATTTTTATAAACTGTTTTTTACTATGAGATTATTCTAAAATTAGTTATAAGATTTGTTAATATGTATTTATTTCATTTTGTACTAATCATCATACGTACAATTAATAAATGTATTGTAATAAAAATTGTATAAAATATCAATATTTATTTTATTTTAAAAAAAAGAACTGGTTTTACAATTTAACATGTTAAATTACTAGATCTATTAAATGTAATACAATATGACAGCAAAATGTACTGTATCATAATATATGTAAAAACATTAAGTATATAATGAAAACTATTAAACATTGTTTTTCAGGTATTTAGAGCAGATTAATTATCTTGAAATTTAAGAGACTGTTGAACCTGCATTTGCTGTCTCCGTATTTCAAAAGTATAACATAGTAAATTAATGTTCAACAGGAACAACTTTGTGCTGATGGTTTTAGTATTAGAGTGAATTTATCTATTATCAACCTTAAAAATATGAATATTATTTATGCAACTACATTGATTTTCTCAATATTTTATTTTTAAGTGAGATCCAAGTAAGTAAAATATCACAATTAAAAATTCCTCTACAGAGTTATCTCTACTGAACCCTAATTTATTATGCTGCACGTTTATAAGACGAAAACAGTGCACGCAAGTATTTCATCTTAACTATAGGTTAAATTGATCTAGTATAAGAATCTCCACTAAGTAAGCCCAAATTAGATTCATGAGCAAAAACAAGACATGTCTACTTTATTCTTTTTAAAATTTTTAGAAGAAAGATAAACTATGAAAATATATCTATTTATGGATATCTAGCTATCCATGGAGTTCTTTTTACCCAGAATTTTTTTGAACCAGAAAAGTCTTTTATTTCGTCTGTATCTAGTACAGTGATTTCCATCATTGTTAAACCAAATTATTTAGCATTAATTGCTTTGTTCGGAAATCATTTTTGACTTGCTTTGTTGAGATCTTCAAATCTATTAAATAAGTACCACATAAAAGTTAATATTATGTAGTGTTAACAATCTTTAACTAATTCAGTATTGCTGTTTGTGTAGAGCAATTATTTTTTCTTCTCCTATTGATACATTTATTCTCCTAATGTTTCATTATATTTATTTGAACTTTTCTGGACATGATATGGAAATTGATATACTATTTAGTATTTATATAGTTACAAAGTTAGTTTCGTGTCAGTCAGCTTAAGTATCTATTTTGATACAATAATTGATCTCTAATGACTGTGTCATTGGGTTGGAAAAAGGGCTGTCAATTTGTATTCAGCATTGCCGTAGATGTTTTTATCTTGAATCCTATACATTCGCACAAGTCACTCTTTTTTTCCGTTTTACTAAGTTCTAGCTACCCCTACTTTCATGTCTCAGGTATTATATTTTTTCCTGACAGTCGATTTTCCATTGTTCTTAAGCATATTAGTTCATGTATATTTCTTTAGCCCTTTCCTTCAATTTAAAATTCAAATTTTTCTTAATAGATTCATAATATATATTGCACAATATACCTGTTTACATTCTTATAGAATTGTATAGAAGAAATTCTGATAGATACTGGTAAATTTTTGGAATCAAATTCGATATATCAATAATTTGAATAAATAATATTTTCTATTTTCAAGTCTTTCTACATTAACCATACAATAAAAAAACTAGGTTTTCCATTATTTCAATGGGGGCAGTCTTCTCCTTTGTTTTTCTCGATCTATTTATCCAATCGGCTTCAAACCTATTTCCTTACTTCCTTTCTTTGACGATTGAAAGCTATGCCATCTTAGAAGCTCTATCTGGTAATGCTTTTAACCCACATTATTCTCCAACCATTTTAAAAATCATTAAATAAAAAAGAAAAAGGGCATTTACTGTTTGGTAATATTATTATTTTAGTTAGGTAGTTATTTTGATTTATTTTAACTTTATAGTGCCAAAAGTGGCGAAATATGAAGGAAAACCCAAGTGACACGAGCTGTGGGACAATACTTACATCTTCCTAGTCATTTTTAGATTCTTAATGTATAGCAAGACACGTATAGGCTTTCTATAATGTATGTATTTTTTTCAGATCTACATTTGTTTTGTTTTTCTATCTGTAAATTACTTTTCTACCAGAAATCATATTCCGATCATCAACTTTAAAGGGGATTTTCAATTACGAATTTTGTCTAGATTAGTGTACTTATTGGGGAAATTATTAAAATGTTTGTATAATTTTTTATAATTTGTAACACATTTATACTCATGGAGTTGTAAATTATCTATAGTAAAAATTGAATGAAATAGCATTTATTTTTAATTGCATTTTTAAAATTGTCTAATATAGGTTAAAACTTAAACAGTGAAAAATAATTATATCATTGGCAATAAAGCATACCTAAGGGGATGGAGCGGCTTAGGTTTGACACATAATGGTTCATTGACCATGTTTAATGATAAAAAAAAAAAAGATAATAATGATATTACATATGTAATATAGAAATGTATACATATTATGTAGGTACACCTATATAAAATTAAGTTCGATTTATGATTGCTTTCTATACAAATCTAAAATTTTATTCCGATCTGAATGAAGCTTTCCACAATTGTTGTTCAAAATATTGTAATTTCATACTTGTTAATACGTAGCTATTAGTATTTATATTAATTGCATATTGTATTTTTTGTTACCTGTCTTTTTTCTTGTACCTATATATAGGAGGTTAAATAATGTTAATTCGGTGATGAAAATTTCTACAAATGTATGGTCCAAAAATGTATTTATACTTCTCAAAACGAAAATTGTAATTAGGTATACAACTCTCAAGAAATGGTAAAAATTGAAATGTCCTGGACGTATATTTGTCCGGTAAGAATTTTCGATACACTTCGCTCCTGACACTGGTATTATGAATTTATTTTTAATTTACTTCAAACCGAATTATTGTAATTTATTATTTAAAATACGTTTAGAAACCGGGAATTCAGTACCTGCCAACGCTCGCACAGTGATATTTCCTAACTGTTTTTTGATATTGTTAACAAAAATTATTATACAAATAAAGTTTTCTCAAAATTCTAACATCAAAGACGATGGACACTAGGTACGTATATCGTAGCTGTACACTTTTATCAAGGTGACCCTAGAGTAAGTTAATTGTGTACTTTAAACACTTATTCAAACACGATTAAGTTACAAAGTAGATACTTAAATATAATAATCCTTTCACCACAATCTAAATACCCTACGTAGGTATTCATTATCGATTGCCATTACGTACGTAGTCGCAATAGAAATGCCATTAAAACTATATTAATCACTCCACAACGCTGATCAATGTAATTAAGATTAACGAATAATCTTCTAGATTGTTTTGCAGTTATAAAGTTATGGAAAACAAATTTAATTCTAAAAAATCTATGAATTGACAAATAATTAAAATATAATTATCATTATACAGGTATTATGATTGAATTATCAGAATTTTAGAATTTAATGACCCTGAGGAAAATACCTATTATCAATCCCTGATAGTGTAGTGAAACTCTTAGTTTTGCACACTAAACACAAGGTGTATTCTTTTTCTTGGCAAACACTTTTTGATGAGTGAAATACAATAGTACGGTATTTACCATAAAATATGCTGATTTATCGACCGGTCATATGTTATTTGAAAACAAATTTCTACACCAATTCCCTGGAAATTTTCTAAAAAAATGTAAAAATGTTGATAGCTTGGTTTTATTTTTATGTTTGTTATTTCTAGGTTACTTCGACTAAAATGAAAAAAATACGACTAGTACTACCTACCTATAATCTGTATAGATAATCTTCCGTTTACCAAATCCCACTCAAACCAATCCGGCCATTAATCCTTATAAAACGTTTGGGTCAAAATGCCGACAATTAACTCTTTTTTTATAGCTCGTCTTTACATCTTACTTATTCATTAGGTAATACATTGCGTGGTTTATTGACATTTGATATTATTGTACTTGGTTTTTTTTTTGCGAGTTCATCAATAATTTCTTTACAATTTCAATTGCTTAAGCTTTATTTTAAAGCCATTTTTAATTTTTTATCTGGACTTCATAAATTCTATATTATCTAATTTCCAATGATGATTGATAACTCTTTCCGACTACTTCGGTCTAAACTTTAAACAGTTAAGTATAACCCATAAACGGGAAATCTGATATTAGTGTTATACATATCAAAATGTCTAGAAAAATATACTATATTCGAATCTGTGTCCAAAAAGGGGAGTTCCCATTTGAAAAACAAAAGTATATTCTTATTTAAGGTATATAAAGTGAAGGAAATAAATTTAAAATAAAACTTAAGCGATTCTACAAAGATTAAAGAAAATATAAATCAAATTTCACTTTAAATCTTCCAAGATAATTTCTAGTTCATTATAAAAAAAATCACCTTGTATAAATTAATGTTTTCTTTCTCTATACCTTCGTAACAAGTCATTTACAACTTTTGAACCATATTTTTTCTTCCGAAGGGTCAAGACCCGGGACCCCCCCCCCAAAAAAAAAAAAACAAATACGCCACTGCACTTCAGGCAAATTAAATAATTACATCTGTTTTTCATTACAACTCTTTTAGACTTACTGAATTAAAACAAAAGTTAAAATGAAAATAATAAACGCATTATTTTCGTAAATATTCCCGTTTTCCGAATTATTGCGAAAACCGCTTGGAAAATCAAAAAATGACCTCTCTTAAGTACCATCTAGACAATATTTCCCTTTCAGAAATGGTGCCACACGCACATATCAAGGCAAGATTTCTGGTAGACATTTTTGTCACGGCATAACAAATAATAATAAACATTTTAGTAAAACCAATACATTCTTTGATACACTCAGAATCCAAATGAAAATGATTATGAAATGCACTTATACGCACAATAGTGATAGTAACAATAAGACAATAGGTGCATATAATGTTTTAGATTAATTTAACACATGATAACTATTAAAGGCATTATATAATATTATTTTTATTAATTAGAAAAAAAAAAATCAACTCCACTCTTATGTTTCAAACGATTTTAAAGTACAGCGCGGGTACGCGGGGCGTTTTGTGCAAGTAATCGCGTACACGAGTGTGTAACTATGTAAAGGCACTCGTAATAATTAACAATTGTTGTGCGTGTACATTATACAATTTGTACACGGATTTGATAAAAACATGTTTCCAACGAATGACCAGTTCATGATACGGACACAAGTGCGTACATACACAGTTACACACGAACAATCGTAGGCTATAGGGATCATTTAGAAAACTTCTACAGCGCCGACTGCGAATAGTTGCCTACTGGCCGATCCATCCATCCACCGATCCGACACACAAACAGTTCGCGAACGATACATTATTTTCAACTCGGAAGGTAAATAACAATAATTTGTTTCGTGATTTATTTGCAACCTATAATATTACGCTGGTTTTAATAGTTTTTGGTCCCGTGGAAAAAGGGCTTAATCAAGTTTGGGAATATCTTTAATTTTCTTTTCTTAATCATTTTCTCGTACGATTTGTTAGCACAAATGTCGTAGATTTATGTATTTTCAACATTAAATTTGCTTGTATTGAAAACTGTACAAAATCGACATGAGCCCTTCTTTCCCGGACCAGAGAACTAATAAACATCAGTAGATAATATTATGTTTAGTACAAGTAAATTTCTATACGGTTAATTTTTCATTATTGAACCCGTTTTATAATGCGCAATAGTACTGGGTTTTACCTTAATGACCTACTAAAAAAAAAAATTAATCAATAGAATCAACTTATCGGGTGATAATAAAGTCAATAATTAGTATGTATAGGTAAGAAACCGGTTCCGGTTCGGGTAATACTACTGGAAATCCGGTTCGTATTAATTTTTACCAGATTTTATCAAAAAAAATCGATCCACGATTTACAATACCCAGTATCAAATATACCTAATAAACTAACAATTTTCTACCCTTATATTAGAACACATACTTATCTATTTTGTCTCCCTATTTTTTTTTGTCGTTTCTCTGCTAACGCACGCAAAATTCGTAGTTACCTATGATACGGGTACATTTTGCTCTATATTCACGTATACCTAAAAAAATATAAACATTTTATAAAAGCGTACAAGTTTAAAATAACTGTGTGGTTTATTTTGTTTATGTCTATGGCTGCTTTTTCGATTAGTAAAAATCCTAAAGAGAAAAACGTAATCAAGAAAGTGAATTTTCGGCATTTTCCAGATTCCAGATAGTTTTTTTTTTATCGTTTTAATAAAATTCACAGCAAATGACTATAAACCATTTTGAATAAATTTACATTTATACGATGACTTAATAATGTCGACCTTTGCGATTTCTCGTTTATAGTTCAACCAGTTTCATGCAGGTTTCACCAGAATTTTGTATAATAAAAAACTAAATGTCCATCCCAACATTCAGCCTACAAATCCTTTTTTTTGTTCTTTCAAATACTTGAATTTTATATTTACATCTAATTATTGTCGTGTGTCTTTATGTTTGCTCACAAATAACTGTAAACAATTATTATATTACAACTATTGAAACTTATTTTTCTTTTTAAGTTAATTGATATGATTCGTATTACGCACGAAAACATGCATTATAAAAACATCGTTAACAATAATAATAATTACGTACGATAAAATGTATAGGCCAACAATACAGAAACTCAAAATTTGTTTTCGTCGATTTAGCTATTCTACAAAACAATTGGGTGATGTAAAACGCCCGTTCTGTAGGTAATATAGACGGTGCAGCTTACCACGGTACGATGCTAACGACGGTACATAGTTTTATTAGTGTATTAATATTATAATAATAATTACATAGTTATATCATTGCCCTTATTAGAATTTAAAAAAATCAACAAAAAATGTTTCTGCTCGGTGTGAGCGTGCATTTTATAACATGATACAATCCAATTAGTAGAACGAATATATTTTATAACAATATATGTAAGGATATTACCTATTCAAATCAAAAATAAACTTGATTATTCACATCATCGTCTCAAAGGCCGCGCAGATTAGATAAAACACTAATATTTTTTCAACTATTGTAATCATTATAATAAATTTTAATTGTGTGTAATAATGATTTTGTCCGAATGCGATTTATAATTTTACATTCTAAGCACAGCGGAGAATTAGTTAATGGTCTTACAAACGCTTTTTGTGTTGGTAAAAATGCTCCGATTTTTGCGTGTCATACTTTAAAAGATACAGGTTTTCCGTCCATTATTAGTACTTTATTTGACCCAATTTTTTAAAAATATTTTATCCTTTAAGGCTTTTTTTTGATTTCCCCCTCTCTTCCCCGCTAAATGCTTCTTTTCTGTTAGTATAAAAAGCTTCAAACTATTCGCATCGTATTTACTCTGTAAAGATTTAACTTACTTTATTTAAAAACAATTTCACAACAGTTTTTCCATAGGATTTATAAAACCGAATAAAAAATTTAAATACATACCTAGGTTTTATTTTTGTTGATTTTCGGGTTACTTTGAAAAAGGTAACCCAAAAAAGGAAAGAGAAAAAACATAACTAATATTACTCCATTCAAAATTGGTTTTTTGATTACAATGATTTATCGTTGATTTCATAATACATATTAAATTACTTTGCAAAACGTTTAAAATGTCAAACCTAATACAGTAATCTACCAATGGTGCGAAGTATATCTGAATTTATTTTAGATTCTGAGCGCAGAGCGAGGAATGCCTTGGTTTTACAATGATGTTTACTTTTTAACAACTTTTCTTCAAGCAATTATGTTCCGATTTTCAATTATTACACTTTTTCTGGAAAAAAATCTGACCGGGGTCGTACATTTTTTTATTCTTCCAGCTGTTTTCGTAATAATTGGGAAAAAAACACAGGAAAATAGTTACAGTGTTAACCGAATATTATGAAAGAAAATATAAAATGCGTATGTAATTATTTTACTATAATATGACATATATATTGTTGATAAAGCAGTACTGTCAAATGAATTTTGCTCAGATTCGTTTTTTCATTAGCAATGGTTAATGGTTCCTTACAGATATACATTAAATTTCCCTTCTACTACCTTCCCAATTTCTCACCTATAACAGTGGTCCATCCATGTGCGAAGTATGTCCGTCTAACAGCTGGGAAAATCAAAAAATGATCCTAATCAGATTTTATTTCCGAAAAGTGTTATAATTGAAAATCAGAGTAAAATGGTAGAAAAGCTATTCACATGGGAAAAAAAGGGGCTGTAATATTTTTTTATTAATACCTACATTTCTTACATTTCCCGTTTTTCTCATTTATTAGAAAAACTCCTTAGAAAAATAAAAAAATTACTTCCTTAAAGTACCATTCCAGTTAGATTTCCTTTCAGAAAAAGTGCGATAATTGTAAATCTGAGCAAAATTACTAGTATAGAAAAGTTGTTTTGTGAAGAAAAGTAAACATCATAGTACAACAAATACTCGCTCTGCTCAGAATTTAAAATAATAAAAACAGTACAATTCTCCCATTTTTTCTCAATTGTTAATTAAAATAATTGGTAAATTTTCTCGAGGGATATTAAGTGAATTTGTTGTCTATTTTTTTTTAACATTGTGAAATTGTTCAAGCTTTATTTTAAAATTATTTTCAAATGGAGAATATTTTTCTAGAAATTTTAGTATGCATTACACTACTATGAGATTTACGGTTCATGAGTTATAACCGTTTTAAATATAGACCGGAGGAATAAAGAAATGTAATAAATTGCATATCTATTTTCAAATAATAAACTTATAAATCTTTCCTACTACTCCGATCTGAACTTTAAACGGTTATAACTCATGAAAGATAAATCAGAGTTTACTAGTAAAATAACCTCCATTCGTATCTGTGTTTGAAAATGAGGTACCTATTTGAAAAACAAAAGTATATACTTATTGAAGGTATATGGAGTGGATTAAAAAATTAAAAATGGCCTAAAATTAAGTTTAAATAATTCCACAATGATTAAAAAAAAAAAAACCCATAACAAATTCGCTTAAAATCCCTCAAAAAAATTTTTGGTTCATGGTAAAAAAAAATCACTTTGTAGAACTAAATTATGTATCTACATTTTAATTTCTAAATACGTACGTACAGGTACCTAAATTTTTCTGTCTGTTAGAATAAGATCTAGAAATAACTACTGCAGTTATGTTTGTTCGTTAAGCATTGGAAATATGTTGTCTCTTTGTTAACTACCACGAGATTCTGTGAAATAAAAAAATACATCCATGAAACAGACCCCACGACCCACCAACCTCATTCGATTGGTTCCAAATATATACCAAAACATGTTAACTAGTTACGAAACTTTGGCATTAGCGCAAATATAGTAAGGCTTGTAGCAACCAAGTCGTTCTAAAATTCAGACAAACCTCCCAAATCATGTCTTTATTAAGTAAAACACATAACTTGGATGACAACAACAAAACAAACTTATGTAAGTATATACATAATCAATATTGAAAACCCCCATAAAATATTTGGACTATTTTGTCCCAACGAATTTCGGCAAATCATTTCCGCGTTTTATAAAATTAATTTTCATTCGGGTGGGATAAGATTCACTCCAAATAATTGCCAACAAATTCGTAAATAATTAGCAATTTTTAACTAATTGATTATCAAAATCAGCAAATCGCTTTATCAATGGCAAATTAAATTCTTAACCGGGTGTCTGATGGTTAATGTTCACAAGTTGCCTAAAAACGGACCAACTCGTGTATATAATAGGTACTAAACATTTTTATATTCATATTGTTCTAAAATGTTACATTATTTTTATTATTGGCAGTGAATTGGTTTTAACTACTTCTAATACCAAAAATAAGGACAACGTAATATTTAAGATTCAATTTTTTTTTAAATAAGTATTTTATAGGAAATTTGACTGTAACATGAAATTTGAGTTGGTTTCATATCGATAATATGAATGGATTTTAAATGATCGATTATATAGAAAAAGAGAATTTAAAAATTGTAAAACTTAAAAAAGTGAAAACTCTGACCACCCGGTTTCAAATTTGATTAGCCAATGATACAGCGATTTGCTAATTTTAGATTTTGATTGGAGCAAAGAAGGTTATGGTTTTACAAAGATTTTTATTTTTTTTTCTGTGGACAATTTTTCTGCCAGAGGACTTGCTCCGATTTTTACGTGTAGCAACTTTTCTGAAAGTAAATCGGTGTGGGGATGTACTTTAAAGAGGTCATTCTTCGATTTTCTCAAGAGTTTTTTCAGTAAATGTGATAAACTGGGAAAGACGTAAGAAAACTGTGGAAATCGGTACAACATTATACAAACATTATTAAAGAAAATAGAGCCCAATTAATTATTTTACTGTAATATGACAAATATATTGTTGACAAAGCATCACTATCAATTGAACTCCACTCAGAATCGTTTTTTCGTAAGCAATAGTTTATCATTACTTACAGGTATACATTAAATCACCTATTACAGTGGCTGAACCCGTCCCCATTACCCTAGGACGTCTTTTGAAAATCGATTCACTATAATTATTTAGTATTTTTGCACGTATATTTGGTATCGATCGAATGATGTGTATTATCATTTTTTTTGTTTCAGAGAATGTCCTGCTATAGTTATACGGATTAGCAAAATATTCCCCAAGTTCATTGTTGCGACATAGACAATATTATTGCATTTAACGTAAACTTTAACTGACATCTGAGTAAAATAATTATTGTTGAAAAAAATTCCTACCTACCACAATGTTGAACAAACCGTTTTATGATTGCTTTAAAAAAAATATATATATAATATATTATTACTTATTATTAGTTACCTCAGTATTGACCTCGAATGCCGCAACTGCAGTGACTATTGTCTGAATTTCATAGTACCATTCTATAAATCTGATTTTATAATCACGCGTATTGCGCGCGAGATAATTATTTTGTCATTGCCACGTTTCTATAATAAAACTTGTATGTTTTTTTTTTTTTAACCGAAATGTACATATTGTATACACTTTTCTCCACAATATTATAATCAAAAAAAGTGTGATGATATAATTTATGTATACTTACTATTCGTTGGTCTGAAATGTTATTGTACCTATTAGGATTCTGTATCAAAAATGTTTCTTCTCAAATATTCTTGACATATACCCGACCCGGTTGCTACTCTATACTTTAAACCTAGTTCAAATATAGGTTTTTTTTTTTTTTAAATCGACATGATTTTTTGGAAAAGCATTAACAATTACATTTTTCGTGGTTTTTTAAATTTTGTAAGAATTGGTCACCTGTCACCATATATGTAGATAATTGTAATAAATCCAAATGTGCGTTCACTTCGACACAATATATTTTCGTTTAACAGTACAGACACATACGCTAAACTCGAAATCGTCTTTAAACAGCTTTCGAGACCATATTTTGTTTCGAAACAAAAGTCCTTCCGTTTCACTATATCACCGTTTTGAGTTGTTTCTATAAAATGTTCTCTACCTAGTTGTCTTAATTACTTTTCGCTTTTATCAATCTGTTTGATCATCCCATACCGGTCTCGTCCGCCGCGGAGTTCTATTTGAAACATAACATGTTATTTTATTATTGACGTGAATCCTTATTATACGTGACCAAGTAAACTTATACGAGACAAGAAGGATAATATCAAACAAAAGAGTCCAGAAATTATACGAAAAAACAAATATATACGGAAGGTGAAATCCGATAAAAACTCAAATTCGATTCAAACGAAACGGATAAACAGTAGCAATGTTTGTTGTCGTTATATTATGCGATTGTCTATATTCTTGACCAGCGTTTCGATAGGTTTATTATGTTATGTTTTCGGAAAAAATAATACTTTATTACACTGGGTTACGACTATACCTTTCGCTCGTTCAGTGCTACCAGTTATATCACGATAACGTTAACAAATCGAATGTTGAACTTTCCTGATAAACTTTATTATAATAAACAATCGAATCGATTTATTTCAAAAATGTACTCCCGTAGGCGATATCATACAGATTACACGAGAACATTAATTTATATGATGTTCTCTCGGTGTCTATAATAATATATAGAAATAGTGTGCATACGTATATACATACATAGGTGTTTATTTTGAAATTACATGTGTTGTTGCGTTAACTTAATAATAATACGAAAAATACAAATTTAATGCGGTGAAAAAGTACAAAGGTAACGACGATAACAGACGCATTGGTCGTAGTAAATTCGCGTTATAAGTTTAAACTATGTAATACTGGGTCGCTTTCAAAAAAAAAAACGTTCATCGTATTTTCGTTGTATCATTCTATACGTACTGTAGCGTAGCGAGGATTTATGAATGGGGGAGGAGTTTAGGGAAGTCTAGTAGGTGTATACAATCTTCTTAACTTTACCCTAAAGCTAAACAAAAATAGCAATGGGGGTGGGAGGTTACAACACCCGAAAACCCCCTGGCTACGCCACTATATACGTATGACCTGAACTTGGATTTGTTTTTAATCCTCGATCAACATTTTTGGAACAAACTTTTCTGCCACTCGGCGTATTTGCAGTTTTCTAGTTACAATTTTCTGGAATGAACTATGTAAAGTATTGCATTCCTCTGCCAATCAAGGATCTGTCATCACAACAAAAGACAAAATCCTCATCAACTTCTCCACTATCAAAAAAGTTTATCGATTTTTTTTTTCTTTTAGATCCATAATAAAATTGCCAATCACGAAAATTATACTGCACAAAAACTTCGGTTACATCAAAACCAGCGGCGGATTTATAGGTGGGTCCAGGGGCCTGGACCCTATAGTTTTAATAAAATGTCCAAAAAAAAAGGTATCTGTTTATAAATACCTTTTGAATACATATGATTTCCAAGACCCCACCCAGTAAATTGTTTAAAATCCACTACTGATCAAAATGATAAAGGTTATATAGAATCTACAAAAAAAAAATGTACTCAGGAAGAGACAGAAGCCAGTAACACAAATCTATGGCTCTTCGACGTTCGGTCAGGGCTCTATTCAAATAGTCGGGAGACTTTTTGACCACTGATTAGCTTTTTCTAGAAGTGTTAAAATTGTCAAAAAAATCTGTAGATTTTTTAGATATTTATAGACAATTGATATTTTTGAGATTTTTAGTTTTGATTAGGTTTTATGAGTATAAAGTCATTTTGGCCGAGCGGAAATTTTTCAAAAATGTACTCGAGTACTTCATCATAAATTGTAATTAGTCATAAAGATGTTGTGCGTAATATAATAGAGTATTATTTTTTTTAAACAATTTAAGTTAAATTTTTTACTCAAATCATAAAAATCGCGACATTTCAAAACAAGTTTCACAAGTTCAGAATTGTATTTCGTTAACATTGTTTTATGACTGCCTACAGATATCAATTAAATAACTTTATGTATCCTAACTTCTCAACTTCCCATTTGTACAACAGATCCGTTAGCAATATCATCTCTATTTTCAATTTTAGATTTCTTTTAAATTTCTCCATTATAGTTTCCTCGTTCAAAAGTTTAGACCACTATTCGAATGATTTAATCTAGGCTAAAAGTAAATGAGTTCTATTCTACGCAGAAATGTAAATAGTGAAAAATCAAATTTCCCCCGAGGATATTAAAATATATTGGCACACGTAACTCTAGATTAAAAATATTATCATTATCTATACATAATAACATGTTTTTATACTTTGTCGGTTATATTACGCACGGGTGTGTAACCAACTCGGCAATTTGGAAATCGTTTAAAATTACCATTATAACGTCACATAATGACCGTGTATCTGCTATAAATTATAATGCGCATATAGGTATACTTATTAGACGTACACCTTTACCGCAGTGTTGGCCGCCAATGCATCCTACAATAATACGGTCCATTAGTTAAATATTATTTAGGTTGGCCGTAGACCGGTCGGTACATTTAACTGCCACGATAATGCATTACAATATTACAATAATATTTATAATGTGATAAAAACTTGTTCGGGTGCGCGTATCCAACTAGCGCGGTTTGTTTACGTTAGATCGCACGTTTAAAAGTGATTTAAATATTAAATAAACACAGTAAAAAAAATCATACGAATAGAATATTTCCGGGTGAAAGCCACGGCTTAAAAAAGTGAGGTAAACAAAATAATAATAATAAAAAATGATAAAAATATCACCCAAATATACCTGAGTGAAAGGTGCACGAGTGTTACCAGCTATTATAAGAAATTTTAATTATGTACATGCGGTAAAAAACAAAAAATACAAAAATAACAAACTATTATCGAGTGTGTGGTGATATTGCAACAGTGCACAATTATTTGTATTAAACTAAGTTTCGTATTTGTTAAAATCGAATACTCGTTGAGATGTTTTTATTGTGTTTTTGTAGGATCGAAATTTATCATCATATATGTATACAAAGTAAAATTGTTTTTTTTACCGAGAACCAGCAATTTTCTCGTAGGATTTAAAGTGAATTTGATTTCTGTTTTTTTTTCATCATTATAGAATCGTTTAAACTTTATTTTAACGCTATTTTAAATTTGTTACCCCTTCTTAACCTTAAATGAGTATCGACTTCGGATTTTTAAAATGGCAATCTCCCTTTTAATCTCAGATTCAAATAGAAACTATTTTTCTAGACATTTTTATTTGAAAATTAATAAAGAGTTATCAATTTATCATTTAAAAAAAGATATGTAATTTATTATTCTTTTATATTCTTCCGGCCTAAACTTTAAACGGTTAAAAAACATAAACGCTAAATATGATAATAGTGTTGTGCATAACAAAATATCAAATTCCCGTCTGTATCCTACATTCCTAACTTCCCACCTACAAAAGTGGTTGCGCTCAAATGCAAAGTATGTCCGTCTTTTTTGTTATAATTTAGTTAAAAATAATCATAACGTATTTTCACAGAATACTTACTCGTATACTAGACTTTTTTAGACGTGGTTAAATTTTCGAAACATGTTCAAGTTATAATAAACATTTTCGAGTATTTTAGTTTTGATTTGATTTTATATGGATGAAATTGTCTTAACCGATCAGAAATGCTTGAAAATTGTACACGAGATTCAACGTGTTATGTATTTGATGTTAAAATAAAAACAATTTAACTTATTCCAGTAGTTTAATTTTTAAGTTCTAATTTTGATGAAAAACGTAAACATTAACATTTCAAAATATGCACCTCTGAACTTCAACTAAAATCGTTTTTCGTTGTATTCTAGTATGTATATATTAGTTAAAATTGTCTGTATATAATAACTTCCCTTCCATACTACCCTCCTAAAATATGAGCACACCCAACAGCAGTATCAACTATTTGTTTGCATAAATATATTTAAAAATCGATACAAATTAAGGCATACAAATTGAATATTTTGTTCTCTTTATGTATTAGTGACTTAAAAAGTTATTAATTTTATTTTTTCTCGGAAAAAGTTTTTTCGATTGGTAAAAATGCTCAGTTATTTTCACGCAGTAACTTCATTATTAAGCCCGGCGATTTTAAACCCGGCGCTGAGTTCAGAATTAGTTTTAATTACAATAAATAATCACCACATTCAATGTATGAACTAAATCGCCCTGCTAATCAATCCCCACCTACCATAGTGGAATACTTATAATGAACAGCGTAGCAACGATATACAAACACCCGGAATCAGCGGCTGTAGTACGGCTTTTTATATAATACATAGGTATGCATTTTAGGGCGTTAGTTTAAAATGTTTTTTTTTTTTTTTAAGAAGAGGTATTTTGAAAATCCAACTATTTTCAATTTAAGTAAAACCGCCACTGGCGTCCTTCACGGGCAAAATAACAGCGAAAAATCGTTTCACCTTCGAGTGGGGAAACACTGTTACGGCGAATGTGCAGTTCGAAAAAGCGGTGGGATATCCGAAACTGTAACCAATATTATAATTGCTAACTCTTACTTCGCGTTTTTATGTATATATTATATAGTATGTGCCATTATTAAATTGTTTACGATATCGCGATAGTGGTGCACGTACTTGGACGTCACTGGACAAGTGATACTCCGAGTATAGTATAATACCTATACAAATATACAATATCAATTACATGAAGCGTCCTATATGCTGGGTGCTCTACCCAATGTTTACACATTTAATATTACATCGCGGGATGGCGTTTCAGGTGATTTATGAACGGTAATTATGGAACAACAAGTGCAGGTCAATAATCAGAAACAGTGCGTAAAGAGAAGAGAAGTTTCGGTGGCGGGCGACGAGGATAATAAACTACTGCAACAGCTCCCGTGGCCGACGAAGAGGCCATGCAGTCGAAAATTGGACAACAGTGGAGACTTTGACACCATCCAATCGGTCAAAGGCTATTGCTTGAGCAAGAACATGCCGACGGACATGTACCGTCCGGTGGCCGGCCAGTGTGGTGGCAGCCCGGGCAAGTTCCGTCTGGCGGACCTGATAGGTGAGCTGCATAGAGTGTTCGCCGAGGACCACGTCAATGTCGAGTATGTTCAGTACTTGATGGAGTCATACCATAGCGATCCGGCCGAGTGGCTTAAGTACGCCAAGTTCAACAAGTTCCGGTACACTAGAAACTTGGTGGACGCGGGTAACGGAAAGTTCAACCTGATGGTGTTGTGCTGGGGTGAGGGTAACGGTTCGTCCATACATAACCACCCGGACTCTGACTGCCTGATGAAAGTGCTCGCCGGTCAGCTGACCGAAGTCAGATTTGCGTGGCCCTCCGCCCCGAACACTTTGGACGAACAGAACGGCGACAATGACGAAGATCTCCGGCCCATGCACGAGACGGGACGTGCGCTACTAGAAATGGACTCCGTGTGCCATATAAACGGTCAGTACCTATTTATGTATTATGACTCGATTTTGAGTATAGTGAGGTACAGTATAGTATAGTTAGATTCTTATTAGTTATTTATTTATGCAATTTCTATACACTTGAATTTCGGACTTTAGTCACATTATTTTATTATTATTTTTTGTCTATTTCTACGTTCCCTTGAAGATGGTGATTTATGATTTCACTTCCAAGTTACACGATTCTGATATTCCCCATAGACATTTTTCATTCCCACGATTCGACGACACAAAATTACTTCGCAACGTTCCTACATTTTAAAAAACTAATACAGATATTTCGATTGCGTGTATATATAGATCGTGTGGATAGTGCAAATTAACTGTTTCCGGCTCAGATAAATAATAGTAAGATCTCAAAATTCGCAAATATTCCTAATAAATATAAAGAAAAGTTAAGAAAAAAAAAGCTTTTTAATATTAAAGTGCATTGACCTATTGTTAAACTTAAAAATAAGAACATCTGTGCAATGCTGGTGCTATTTTTTAAATTTTTTAACTGTCAAGTGAGATACAGACATTAAATTATGATATTTCACATACTTATCAATAGTGTATTCTTTGTCTTTGATAATGAGTCAAATGACTCTAATATTAAAACCAACAGCACAACGCTTTCCTTGCAGATCGCCAATTTGCTATCTCGTACATTTGTAAGATGGAGACGGGTATCATGCTCTCTTAAGATATCACCACTACATTAAATCCGTGGATGATCAACGAAGATTATTTATAAAAAAAACATAACTGACGATTTCGCAACATTATTTACGTGAGATCATGAAATATTTATGTTTGCTATCGGGTAAAACAAACAAATCGTTTGTAAGACTAAAACTTGAGAACTCATGTATGTAAAATCGACTTTAACGGTTATCTATAACTAACCTGAAACCAATCACCAATGCTTCACTCAAAATAATTTTTATTCGCAATGATATATTTATGATTTTTTCCTTTAAGGATAAACTAAATTAATTCAAATCTTTTACATACTATGCCTAAAATGTGTCCGATCGTTAATAACGAGTATATCATTATAATTAGCCTTAGGCTTCTATCATTCCTTTCACCCGTGAGCAAAATAAACATCATAATCGGCTTTAAAACGATATCGAACATAATGTTTAAGTGCACGCGTAGGTACATAATAAAATTATTATTAAAAGTAAAATGTCAATATTAAAAGATCCTCTAGTGTTGATGATGTAGTACATATAATCTTTATATTATTATATTATATTTGTTTTTCTATTTGTGAAGTTCAACATTTTAGATATATTTTTCTCGCAAATCTAAAAAAAAAAAAAGTAGAATCTTCAAAAACACTTCAACTCTTGCTGATTATAATACTTCGTCACAAGCATAATAAACCGGCACTTGAAAGGCGGGCTGATATCAAAGTGATTCCTAAGCACACATCCCGCATGCTAAATTGGTTCCCGTTAGAAAAAGGTACTTTATGAAGGTGAACCGAATTGGTTCCCGTTTAATAACCTACAATTATATAATGAATACAACACTTAAATAACTTGAAGAAAATTTGCTTCAAATTAACACCTCAAAAACTTTAATTTTAAATTCTGAGTGGATGTTTATTTATTTTTTTTTCTGTGGACAACTTTTCTACCAGCAATTTTGCTCTAATTCATAATTATAGCACTTTTTCTGAAAGGAAATCAGACTGGGGAGGTACTTTAAGAAGGTTATTTTTTGATTTACTCAGGAGTTTTCTCAACAAATGTGAAAAATCGGAAAAAACATAGAAAACCCGAGAAAAATTTACAAATAGGTACAATATTAAACAAATGAAAACATTATTAATTTTTCCGTTAGCAATGGTTAATCGCTACTTACAGATATAGGTACATTAAATTTCCCCTCTACTACCTTCCCAACTTCTCACTTATAACAGTGGCTGCACCCGTCCCCATTATCCTACGGAGCTTTTTATTATTGTTATCTTATATAAATTATGAATTGTTGGCTTCCATTTCAACGTTTAAAACAATTTAAAATTTGTATTTTAAATTATTATTATTATTTGACGTAATTTCATTTTATCTATTTTAATTTTTAACTATATATATGCCTACTTAACTTCTAAGTTGACAGTCCTAACCAATTCGACCAGTAATGGATACATTTAACACAAATTTTAATAAGAACTAATTCCGCTCACCTATATAAAATAATACAAAACATTTTCCTAGGAGTTTTTTTAATAAATGGGAAAAACTTGTATAATAATAACATTTTATTGAAAAATGAACTATTTAGAACTACAGTATTGTTATAAACTATTGAGAAATATGGTATTGGATGAAAAATGACTTTGAGAAAAATGACATTGAGAATAAAAAGTTTTTAAATATATTGGACAAGTGCCTCTCTACTAATTACTGTGGAAATATGCATCAAGAATTACAGTAATACGACCGATGATTATATTCGGCTAACAAGTAAAAACAAACAAAACGACGAGCATATAACAATATTTTTAAAGAGATACCAAACTGCAGCTTGCCGCAAAAAGAGAAATTATTGGCCAATAATAGATTTGATTTGGCGTACACCTGAAGTACAACCGGCAAAATAAAATAAAAATAAAATTTGGGAGCGGAGATACATCCGTAAAAGTCTTTGTCGTCACAATCCTGGATTTTGGATCTGGCAGGACTGGCAGTCGTGTCTGATCGTTTCTTAGTCTTGGTCGTCGTGTTCATTTATGTCCGACATATATTATGTTAGTCATAAAATGATTGTGCCTCGAACTCAAACAGGTCGCAAATTTATCCGCGCCTTAATATTATGGTATGATACACAACTGTAAAACCAACTATTCGATTTAATGCGTAGGTAAACTTCTGATAAGTTGCTCTTCAAATCCACATCATTTTTATATTGGCTGTACCTTTTGTTCGTCCAGTAGCATTTTTATCGTATTTTTTTTGTAAGTAGATTTTTCAGTGAATGACGCTCTTAAGGTTTTTTTTAAAAAAAAAAATCAAAGAACACATGTATATACTTACTCATTTCAAATTACTTTTGAATTTTCAGATACAATGGGATTGCACCGCGTTGAAAACGCCAGCCACACCGATAAGGCGGTAAGTCTGCACTTGTATTGTCCGCCGTTCGAAGAGTGCACGACTTTCAACCAGCACACAGGCCACAAGACTAAGGCCAAATCCACGTTCTGGTCCATTCACGGCGAAAAGGTTTCAAAGGTATGTGTAGTCCGTTTATTCCCGAAAATAGTTTGCTATAGGCGTATCACAGTTATTCAAAAATGATAAGAACCGTTTTCGGGAACGCGGCCCGGTTAAATATTAACATACTGCACATGAAATAAAAACTTATCCAACGTGATTTTGCATTACAAATCGGTTTATTTTTAATTAATTGCCTCCGTTCGCTCCATCCTTCTTCGAATCAATTTTATATTTAAATTTTGAACATAGCCGTAGTATTTATTATTGAAATTACACTTTGAAACCGTCATTATTTTGTTATCATATTTTTATTTATCATTTTTAAATAACTGTACCCATCCCATTTTCTATTAAAAATACCTCTCCTTAACCCTTCGCTCGGAAAAAATGTCTAAAACAAACGTCCAAAAAGTCACATATACCTATAATAGGTATTAAAGGTTAATGAAAAATACATTTTCACGGTTTTTTTTTTTTTTCAGAAACTCAAAATCGTAGAAGACATGCCGGACGACAATTAAATTTCGACGACCATACCGACATCGAATCTATACATTATGATGATGCTTATGATATAAGTCAATATTATAATATTTTTTTTTTTTTTTTTTTTTTGAGATTCGAGAATTATAAATATTATTATATGATCGTTCACTGATTTTCGTGACGCGTTTCAAGAAAGATAAAATAATGGTTTAGATTATTATACGATTTTTTCCGCCAATGATTGTAACAAATTTTAAAATTTAAAGAAATTATCGTTTCGATGATTGTTATGATTTTTCGTACTAAGAGTTCAGAAAAGTTAGAACTGTTAGAAAGGTTATGATTATGAGTTTGACCATATACGTATATTTTTCAATAAAGTTATTAGATTAAGTTTTAGTTAAAATTAACTGAGACAAAAAAAAGTGTTAACAACAAATTAAGTCTACAATATAACAATAGTCTTAACAAATATTTTAATTTATTTTAATTTTTTGATATTATAGATATTTTTAATTTATTTATTACAATACAAGAACAATTTTAATAAAGAATACATATTTAAAGTACCTATATTGGCTATTTTATAAATTAGTCAGTTTTTTAAGACTATATAAAATATAATACAAAACCGAATAAATAAACAAGCCATTTAAAATTTTAAATGCTGAAATAATAAATTTCCATAGCACTCTACTAGATTTAGTGTAAAGACAAAAATATAAGCAAATCTTATAAGCGAATATAAGCAGTCATAAGTCTAGGTAAGAATAATTGAATAATACAAGTTTTCAGTTTTTTTCTATCAAATTTGCCTAATCTTTGGTTTTATTTTATTTTTTATTACGACGTTTTTTTAAGCTTAAGTGATATATTGTGTGCATTAAAACAAGTTCCATAAAAGTTCTGACTTCTTCGACTTTTAATATTAATAAAATTGGAGTTATCAAAACTAGGGACTTTTACAACTTTTTGTAGGGCAGCCTGATTTCCAAATTTCTTTAATTGTTATTTATTATTTAATTACTTATTTAAATAATATACCGGAGTTTAATATAAAGGCAAATTATTTAAATTCTGAGCGTAGCGTATAATGTGTGCTTTTATTTGTGTTAACATAATTTCAATTAGAAAAGGGTGGCCAATCGTTGATATCCGGGAAGGATTCAGGTAGAATATTCTGTCTAGTCAGTACATTATGGTATTTTTGTGGATTTTATCAAGTAAAAGCTCTTGTACCGTGCTTCGCCGGACCAAAAACTGTTTCCTAACAAAATTTACTAGCCCGGTAAACGCCCGTTGACTGCCCATTTCCATCCCAGGTGAAGACTAATATTGCCTGTTGGGAGCTGTTTAAACTTTCCCGTTTTTTTTTTTATTATCGACTAAAAATTCGGCATTTTCAAGCCCATACTTTTCAAGAATACTCTTGAAGGACTGGTCTAAAAACAGGCATTATATTAACCGTGCCAACGGCGGTTCTCGACGGTTTACGACCATAATGGGCCCGTGATTCTATATTCAACCTTTCCGAGAGTATTATAATGCTGTTAGGGTTTCCCAATGGTCATCACAATCGAATGGTACAAATATTTGATTTTTCCCACCACTTCAAAGTGGTGGTCTGATTTAATTAAATTAGACATTTTTTCGATTTTGCAAAAAAAACGTTAAATAAAAACTATTAACAAAAGTAGTTAATCAATTTGACGGTTATTATACAATATAAAATATACACATAAATACAGTTACGACATCTGTTCGATAATACAAGTTTAAAATATCACATGTTCTATAATATTTAATAATTATGATTTTATTTCTGGTCGATTTTCATCTGATTTTGACGGTAATGTAAATATCAAAAGACCTGCAACTAAACGTATAACAATGCAATTAATATGTATTATTTCTTAAAACGGTTAACTAATGTTAAACGTTTTAACTGTTGGTTTGTAGGTGACCAGTCGACACCAAAATGAACCTTTCTCTAGTGGGGCTAATTTAGTTTAACGATAAATTCTGAATTGAGCTCGGGTCGACTAGTTGCGCTGCAATAACCAATTAAGTTTTGTGTTTTGGTTTTTTTCCTGTAAACACAGTATTATACACTGAGGCATATTTAGGGAGGGTGAGTGATGGTAATTTTGAGGGCGGCGTTCTATAGGACGGCGACGTAATCCGTTGTCAAATATGTTACAAACATTTTTTTTATACATTTTATATATATATATATATATAAAAAATAATTTAATACATATTTTAGATTATGAGCGTAACGATGGATTTAAAAAATACACAAACATATTTATAGTAGATATAAAAAATCGAAAATCAAACTTCGTAATCTAAAATTAGAATTTTAGGAATTTAATGTCTGAATCCGAAATTAAAATTTTCGGATAATCCGGATTTATATTGCATCACTACTGCTTATTTGTTCTGTACATTTCAAATCTCTACGTGCTATAGATAGTTTTGCCTTAAACTGACGTACCTACTTATACTAATCATCATTTGTTTTCAGTATTGCCTTATTTTTAAAAAAAAGTACTACAAATATCAAACAAATTATATATGTAACTTTTTTTGATAACTATGCACTTCGTGTATATTTAAATTTGACCACAATGCCATATTGATTACACAGTAAGTAATTTTTAAAACTTTATATACTCACTTATTAAAAACGAGCATGACGACACAATTGGAATTGTACAATGCGCGTCGATAAAAAGGCCAATAATGATGTTTCCCACTACGCCGCCTACTTTGCCAAACATACAGCCCATTGACGTGGCCATGCCCCTAAAAATGGAAACTAAATTGTTAATACATATACTAAATGAAAGTATGAACGGAATTTCATACCGTACAACATAATCCCCCCTTCCCATAGTATAGCCGGAGATTCAGGAGTTAGAGAGGGAATATCCCTCTACAGTCATCTGAAGTCCCCCCCCTAAAAATTACCTTAATTAATATATTAATTAATAATACCTAATATATAAATACCTGTATTCAGTAGGAAAAAGTTCGATGGCGATGCAATATATTAAGTTCATGCCCATGCTGGACAGCGCTTCAAACACGGATGCTATCACAAGGTTCTGCGTCGAAGATGTGATGAAATATAGGCACGCGGCAGATATACCCGACATTATGAAACTTAACACTAGGGATAGAACAATAATATCGTATTTCACTGTGTTGATCAACGTAAAGCATTTGAAAAATGCATTTATGACCTATACAAACACAAAAATGGTCTACAAATTTAACTTAAAAAAAAAACGCCCATTAAATTGTTTCTTTAATTTTTTTTCCCCAGACATTAATAATTATTATAAAAAAAATCCTAATATGTTGATATTATATTATACCATTATATAGAATATCTATTTATGCTGTAGGCATGAATTTTTTAACTGTAAAATTTGTCATAAATTAGTGATTTTTGCAGCTAACTTAACGGGAAATGATTATAAATTAACTGAAAGTATAAAAATTAGTGTCGAGTGCTATTGAAATAGACTTTCAGCTTAGAAATCCTTATAAGTACATAACTAATTTCAATGTATTCAATAATAATAATAATAGTTTTACTATGAAATTGATGTTTTTAAAATCATCAACAAAAATTAAAACAAATATAATAAATTGGAAAAAAAACATGTTTGGTAAACTCGCTAACACGGTTAGATAAACTCTATTTACTTTACGTAACTATCATAATAAAATAATCTAAATTCTATTTACTTTACTGTTGTATTCATGGAATATTCCAAATCATAATTTCGTAAATGTGTTTATGGATCGCTTTTAAAACCTGCAAAACCTATAGCGAATATAGTTTACTCGATGGGAGATGGCAATAATAATCTTTTAAAAAATAATAAATTGTAAAAAACCGGATACATTTGAAAATATCACGTCGTCCGTTCTTTGTACACGAAAACCCAATTGAAAAATTATCGCATGCAAATGAAAATGAAAATGTCTAAAAAATTTTGAACCTAAAAAAAACCTGATTCCAAATTTGCTGACAAATAATGGAACGATGATACTCGACGGTAAACAAGCCACGCCAATGATTAATATGTTCATGTAGACGGAATTCTCTATGTAATCGATACATTTCATCTTAGTTTTCTCCGGTATCACCTTAAACATGGACACGATTTCACACATAGATTTCTCGTTTTGAGGCACCGCGATTTTCGACGTTTCGTACAGCCGAAACCTATTTATCAGCTCCGGAAACCACAATGTCATCATGTAGTAACTGTACAAAAACAATTTACAATTAAAAATTTTAATACAAGTTATTACATAAATATTGTGGTTTAGAACGTTTATGATTTTTCTGTTTATATGATGTATGGATCTAAATCACGAACTAATATGTATTTTAGTTCTTAGATTGAGTGTTAGGCATTAAATAAAATAAATATGAAATAAAAATAAAAGGAACGATAATAATATTAAGGTGAATATTGGATATATTGTGTGTTATGGTTGGACAGATGATTAAGAATGGATATATATTATAATATTATTATAAGTAGTCAAGGAATAGTAGGAATAGGTAGTTAGGAACAAACAAAAATGAGAGAGAATAGTATACGGGCGTGTTTTGACAATGAAATATAGTCAAAAAGTTAGTTTCTCGTCAAGAATTAAACAATGAAGATCGATAAATGAAGATAAGTTAACTAAATTAAATTGAAAACTATTAGAGAAAAGTGAAAAACATGATTGTGGAAATATGACATGTGTATAGTAGATGAGGAAATAATTTTCGATAAGGAGATATGGATGGTAACAATAAAATAAAGTATAGTAAATAATTAGTCTCGCACGTCCTGATATGTGGAACAACGGTAAAGAGGAAGAAAAAAAGAAGAAGAGCAACGTTTTAGACATTTTAGATACAAATATATAATTATAATTCATAATTTATATTTGTATATACACATATTTGTGTATTATTATATATAACACATATTATTCTAATGATTTAGAAGTCAATCTAATTTACGGGTATATGAAAAATAATCGAAATATTTAAAAATGCTACTTATATTTTCCAATTTTATAGCCACTCAAAAGAACGAATATCGGTATATTCCTATTTTTTGACCAACACTAAGAAGATAATTTACATGAAAATGTATTGAGAAGTCTCATTACGAACAAATGTATATAAACAATTTAATAATGCTTTGAAATTATCCCAGATCCGAATGTCAGAGATCAACCGTCAAACAATTTTTTGCATTCGTTTATAGGTTTGTTTTTCACAATAAATAATTTTTCATTAAAATGTTTTAAATAAATTTACATTTTTAAGAAATACGATATAAAATTCTTATTATTACAATGTACACCTATTATCATCAAGCACGTATTTAAATTAGGTTTAACTAGAAATGAATGTATATAATAGTGTGTTAAGATATTTTTCAGTTGTTTAGATTATAATTATGAACATTTTAATCGTAATAATAACTAATAAAAACGCATATTTTAAAAACAAATGATCGGCGTGTTGTTAGCGTCTAATATGGTTGTATTAAAACAATAATACGTTCGATTGTCAGATAACTACCTAGCATTGCCACAGAAATGTATGATGAACGTTATAATGGCCGTGGATCTGTATTTGGACTTGAACAGCCCAACCACACTGCCGTACAGTCCGCTAAAAAATCCTTTGCTGGGTACGTGTAAAGTCGTATTATCCAGCTGCACCACGGAAGTCACCTAGAAGAAATACAAACTGTGTTTAAGCACAAACTGCATTAATAGAGCACCTGCAAAAAATAAGATTAAGAAGAATCTGTATCAATATATACAAATAAAAAAACAAACATTGAGCCACCTGATCAAAACAGTGTTAAGCCATTGGCGACGTAGAGCAAAAATTTGTAAGCATCCCTCCACCATGGGTCTAATGGGTTAAGCCCCTAAATTCAGTGGCGGATCTAACACCCGGGCAATTTGGGCATATCCGACCGGGCCTCAGCCGTGTGTGCCCCCTTAGAAAAAATGTTAGGGTACACACATAATGTAAAAAATAAACAAATACGTAAAATACGTATAAATGTGTTACAACACATCATATTATTAGAAATTATTATACAATACAGAATGGATATCATATTATTATGGTAGTAAACTAAAACTACCAAAACTGGTAATTTTCCTTGTCGACCCATGTAGATTTTATTTTATATTTACATATTATCGTCGAATAGCTTAATAATTGCCATTTATTTATTTATTTTTCATCAAGCAGATACGGATCATTATTGAAGTTTGAAGGAGAACACTTATTTACAAGTTATAAACTTTATAGTTATAGTTATAGTTATAAACTATAAAATATAAGTATTATTAATTAAATTAATATTTTATATTGAATATCCCCAGTCCGATTTTCTGAAAGGAGGTCATTTTTTTGATTTTCTCAGAAGTTTTCTTAATATATTGGAGAAAACAGAAAAAAACAGGAGAACGGGAAAATAGGTACAAATATTATTAAAGTAAATGTTTAATGGATATGTAATTATTTTACCATAATATTACATTTATACTGTTGACAAAGCAACCCTATTAACTGAACTACGCTCAAAATCGTTTTTTCGTTAGCAGTGGTTTATCGTTACTTACAGATATACATTACATTTTTCATTTACTCCTACTTCTCACCTATAACAGTAGCTGCACCCATGTCCATTATCCTAAGACAGGTTTTTAATATTAGAGTGAATTGACACATTGTCAAACTTCAATATAAGAAATTAAGAACATCTTATTTTAGATTCTGATTGGAGCAAGGAATGTATTGGTTTTACAATATTTATTTTTTTATACTGGGTACAGCAAATTTTCTAAAAGGGGATTTTCCTGAGACGATACTTTAGGGAGGTAAATTTTGGATTTTCCCAGGAGTTTTCATAATAAATTTAAAAAATGTAGAAAAACGGGAAAATTTACGAAAATAATGCTTTTATAATTTTAAATTTTGTTTTACATTTTGAGTGGAAGAAATTTATGGTTTATGTTAGTTAAATTTATGTTATTTTTTTTTTTTTTTTTTTTGTAGATAACTTGTCTACTAGCAATAAACATAATAATCATGGGAAAAATAATAATAATAATAATCACCAATAATGATAATAAGCATTTTAATAATAATAATGTAACCAGCATCATAATAATCAACAATATTTTTAATAATATTAATCAATAATATTCAGCATACCTTTAACAACTATCAATAATAATAACAATCATCAACAAAATAATAAGCATTTTAATAAAATAACCAAAAATAATCGCACTCATAATTTTAATAAGGGTAATGGTAACAAGCCATACTAATAATAATAAAAATAATAATAACAATGAACATTATAAAATTTATAATCACAATCATCAATAATAATAATCAGCATATTATAAATTATAAGTAAACTATTAGTAATAATGAACACATTAATAATAATAATCAAATCAGCATCATAACAATCATTAATACTTTTAATAATATTACTTAACAATAATAACAATCAACAATAAATATAATCAAAGTTTTAATAATAATCATCACCATTTGTATAAGAATAATCTTCAATGATAATAATAATCATCGTATTTCAATGATTATCATATTAATACAAAAAAATTATTATTATTATTATTGAAATGATTATCGTTTTTATTGTTACCTGATATGCTTCTTATAAAAATGGTGATTATGATTATTGTTGGTTATTTTATTAAAATGCCGATTATGACTTTTGTTGATGATTATTATTATGATTGATAGTTTTTACAGGTATACTGATTATTATTATTGTTAATTTATATTATTAAAAGTATTGATATGATGTTGATTTTATTGTTATTATGCTCATTATTATTATTATTAAAGCTTATTTAAATCATGATTATGATTATTGTTGATTATTTTATTGAAATGCTAATTTTGATAATTGTTTATGATTATTATTATTGTTGATTAATATTACTAAAAAAGAAAATCTGCGAAAAACGAAGGGAAAACTGGAAAATGTACGAAATATAGGTACTAGTTGATAAAAATATTACAGCCTTTTTTTTCTTGTGAACATTTTTTCTACTAGCAATTTTGCTCCAACTTACAATGATTACACTTTTTCTAAAAAGAAATCTGACTGGAAAGGTACTTTAGGGAGGTCTTTTTTTGATTTTCCCAATAAGTAGGAAAAACCAGGGGAAAACATGGGAAAACCATAAAAAAAAAAAAACGGGAAAATAGGTATAATATTAAACAAATATTATTGAACGTGGTAAAAACATACTGATTATCCAAGATCAAATTTATTTATTTTGATTGTATAATAGTTAACCTTTTTTTTTCTACTTATCGTTTTACCAAATAACCACTTGTTCTCCGTATCCGAAGCAGCGGATGCCGGGCTATCACGCAGATAAATTTGTATTTCCAATGCCCTTAAAAAAGTTATTATCACTTGACATTTAAGGTGGGTCTGAACCGGAAAATAAAATCATTTGACAGAGAGAATTGGAAAATTGGATATGCGTCGATATGGCCATAGTGATCGATAACCCTTATAAAAAGAAGAAATATAAACTCACGGGAAATTTGTCGTCAGAGCCATTATTATTCAACCTGTAGATGAACTTCAAGCAAGCGATGGTTTCGTCGTGTTTACCCATGACAAGTAAGAACTTTGGAGTTTCTGGAAACTTCATTAACAAGCACGCTGATATTATACTGGGTAGGGCGCAAACAATTGTAAATAAATTCCACGATCTAAACAAAAAGAATCCATATTCGATTCGGAACGTCAGTGGTATGATTAGCCACGCTATACCTGTAAAAACACGTCTCTAAATTTGTATTTACATTAAACTCGAGGCGTCATCTATTTCGTAACGTCTAGAAGTTTATTAAAACTAACTAATTGGACTCCTGCAACCCACCGAACATTTATTTTCGTTTCAGTTTGTTATTTTACGAATGCGTTTACATCGAGTTGAAGTTTTAAATCGTCGAAATCATACACGGATTTTGATGTAATACTTACATGGAAGTAGTATAATACCAAATGTCCAAAACAACTCTGCCCAGCATAGATATTTCTCCCGAATTTTAATGCTCAGGAACTCTCCGAGGTACAAATAAACCACTGTACCACCAGCCACTCTGTATGTAAAAAAAATCAAACGCTGTTTTATTCTAATGGAAAACACGAATTATTATTATTATAAATATAACATATGATATTTAGTAAATAATACCTGTTTACTAAAACTTGTTTCATCATAAATTATACTTAGTGATAAAAAAAATTGAGAGTTATGTAGTTATTTTTAATATAAGCATTTTAAGTTCAAATCACGGCATTTTAAAACCTATTTAATCAAAACTTTGTTCAATATCGTTTATCGTTAGGAATGATTTTTAATTTATTTATGGTATAGGTAATAGGGTGGTCCTCTATTATGTATGAAAAAAAATAACCAAATTTTTCAAATTACTCCCCCTAATAAGTTCCATTACTAAAAATAATGATATAAATAAAGTTTTAGACAAATCAAATAAATTTAACCCGTGTCACAACAGCTCTGAAGTNATTTAAAGCTTTTTTAAATATTTGAACTAAAAGGTCAAAAAAAAAAAATCATAATCATTATCGGCTATCGGTCAATTGCACAAATACCCAGTACCCATATTTTGCGATTATTACCTAAAGATTATTTTTATGACTCGGACAATTAAATAATATATTAACTACATTCTTTATTCTCTACATCACGCATTATTATAATCTATACTTATATGTTATCGGATATATCATGTCATTGTAGTCATTTTGCGATTTATTGATTAATTTATCAGTTGACGTACTACAACAACCACTGTCACACTAAAATTGTTGAGCATTAAATTTTCAAATTTTGTACGTCATACATTTTATTTTACTGACTTACAATAGTTACCAGGGATAGTTTACGTGAGTCGAAGTATATTTTTTTGATTGGATATAGTACAAATCAAATTGTTGGTAGTAAATTACCATCAAACAAACAAGTTTTGTTGGTACTATTTTTTAATATGCGTGAAGTAAACTTAAATTTGCATCAAAGTGCTACATTAGTGATACAAGAAACAATCATTTTTTGGCGGAAGGCACGCATACCAACGAGAACAGAACAAAAGTGTGTGAACAAACTGGAAGGTTTATACAAAGAGTGGAGAAATTTACAAAAATTAGAATATAGAAAAAGTGCAAATGGAAAAAAATACGCAGTTTCTANACCAAATTTTTCAAATTACTCCCCCCTAATAAGTTCCATTACTAAAAATAATGATATAAATAAAGTTTTAGACAAATCAAATAAATTTAACCCGTGTCACAACAGCTCTGAAGTTACAAATATAGAAAATTTTTCAAAATCGTTAAGTTTTTGTTATAAAACCAACATAACTCTAGAGAAAAGAATCTCACGATAAATTCTTTAGATTATAAATTAAAGAAAACTAAATTTACAATAGTTTGTTTTCTATAATTTATATTATAAATTTAAAGCTTTTTTAAATATTTGAACTAAAAGGTCAAAAAAAAAAAATCATAATCATTATCGGCTATCGGTCGATTGCACAAATAAATAATATGCACTTTACCCAGTACCCATATTTTGCGATTATTACCTAAAGATTATTTTTATGACTCAGACAATCAAATAATATATTATCTACATTCTTTATTCTCTACATCACACATTATTACAATCTATACTTATATGTTATCGGATATATCATGTCATTGTAGTCATTTTGCGATTTATTGATTAATTTCTCAGTTGACTTACTACAACAACCAGTGTCACACTAAAATTGTTGAGTATTAAATTTTCAAATTTTGTACGTCATACATTTTATTTTAGTGACTTACAATGATTACCAGGGATAGTTTACGTGAGTCGAAATATATTTTTTTAATTGGATATAGTACAATTTTTTCGATGAAGCTGTGCCACTGGAGATAAAAAGAAAAATGGCTCATGCTCTAAAAAACGACGAAAGTTCATCAGAATTAATTTCAAATGCACAACGTTTAACTATATCGCCAAAAAATGCAAATGAGTTATTAGAAATGGAAATCGATGATTTTATATGTGGTAATACTAAAACACTATTTAAAAGATTTTCCATCAACACCATTTTTTTGAATGAAGATCCAATTAATTGGGAAAATAATGAAGACTATTCTAAAGCTTTGTTAGTTATAAAAAAAATATTCCAGTAATAAACGATGTAGCAGAAAGGGGATTAAAACTTATAGAGGACTATAATGACAATATTACCAAAAACGAATCTCAAAAACAATACCTTCTACAAGTTGTTAGTGATTACCGGAAAAAATATCCTGACCACAAAAAAGAAACACTTACTGCACTATCACAATAATTTGGTTTTATCATTCATAATTAAAATATATTATAGATAAAATAATTAGGTAACAATGTTATTATAATTGTAAATTTTTATTATAAATAATTATTAGTTGTATTTTAAGTTGCCTTAAATATTAAAATGTTTAAGATTATTCTTGTTTTTATCTTGTAATTAAAATATTTGAAAAAATAATATATTTGCAAAATATTATATATGAAACAAATTGTATAAAATGTAGTGTTCTATCATTTATATTTTAACAAATTTTTTGTAAGTATTTTTTTCCTGGAGTTATATTAAAAAAAAATTTAATTTTTGTAAATTTAGAGCTGTTGTGGAACGGGTTAATATTAATGAATTTGCCTGAAACTTTTTTTGTAGCGTTTTTTTTAGTAATCGAACCTTTTTAGGGGGGGTAACCTGAAAAAAATCACAAGCGAAAAATAAGGACCACCCTAATAGGTATATTGCGAGTATGATATTATTTTTTACTATATGTTTACCCGAATCCGCTCATTAGTCTACAGAACACCAACACTGGATAAATCTGAGATACACCGGCTATGACGTTGAAGACACCGTCTATCAGCATACAAGTGATCAACACAAATTTCCTGCCTTTGGTATCTGCCACGTAGCCCCAAGTAAATGATCCAAAAAATATTCCTGCAATTCAGTATAAAATAAATACTGACAAACTCATCCTGTACCATGGTTAGGTGACACACCTGAATTATTTTCGTATCGCGAGATTTTAGGGTGTATGTACGACGTTCGTGTATAGGTACTTACCGATCATCGAAGCTCCGTTTAACAGGCCTTTGTGTACGGACATCATTTTAAAGTCACATTGGGCCGCCAGCATTATGAAAGACACCGACGTCAAACTAATGGCAGACGACATGAAAAACATACAGCTTACGAACAACATGTAGTACTGACATTTTCCAAAACCTGATGACATATACAAATTGTATACACCTATTAATTATTATCGATTTCAGTACGAAAATAATTATTCAGTTTTAATTAAGCTCGTAGCCATAATTAACTCATGGGGGATGGAGGTTCGCAAATTTGCTTAGTCAACTTATATAGCCTTCTTATGAAAGAATGTTGTCAAAAAATAAAACATATTATGTATTTTTAATATTTTTTAAAAAAGTGTTCAAAAACTCATGGGACTCACGGATTGACGGTTGTAATCTAATATACCCCCACTTTTGGTTACGTGCCTGATTATATGTGTGACTACCCATGATTTTAATTATACACTTGTTTAGATTCTGAGCGTAGTGAGAAATACATTAGTTTTACAACGATGCGTATTCATTTTTCTGATTGTGGAACTACTTTCCCACCAGAAATCTTGTTCCGATTATTAAGTTCAGGAATGGTTTCTGGTAGATAGTTGGTGAAATTAGATTCAATTTTTGATTTCACTTTTAGTTTTCAATGATTGGGAAAAAACGTCAGAAAATCAGAAACATTTATGCTCGTTATCCCCATAAAGTTTCCTGTTATTTTTTGTTTTATTGCGATGCGCTAAAAGAAACGTACAAATCTGACATTTTTACAAAATACTTAAAGTATATTTTTTATCTAAACGTGGTACAGCGTTCAAAACATTCTAACGACTTTTGAAGTATTTATAATCGTTTGAAACTTTTTAGTTTTTATTTAGATTTTTGTAGATAAACATTTTTTTGTTTTTTCAAATATTTGAAAAATTGATATATGGTTCATCATAATTTGTTCCTCTGGTACTATACAACTATAGAAACATTTACAATTAAAATTTTGATGAAAATCGTAAAAATCATGGCAATTCGCGAACTATTTTCAAAATTATGTGGACAAAATTTTTGACTCTATAAAAAATGTGTACAAATTTAAAACGAAATTAAAGACAATTACAATTTGTTTTATTACAAATTAATACAGTTTTCAATTTATGTTTATGTTCACAAAAATCAATTATTGTTAAAACCTCTAACAACAAAAATATTAAAATATTCAATGTATATTGTGTACTATACATTTGTATATATTACTCATATTCTACTGATCATTTATGTACGCACCTATATTAAAATTGCACATTACTTAACATCACAACCTCACATAATATGATATTATTTTACTTTGCCACAACACTTCAATTTACTGCACTCATTTTGATCGATGGGTATTATGTTTGTCTCTTAAATACCACATGTCAATAATTCGTAATTAACCATTCATTCGATTTGTAAGCGAACTCATAATTTGAGTTAGGTGTAAAATGCGATAAAGTAAATTCAATTAATAGGTTTTTTTTTCTCAGATACATTTATGACTTATCCATATCACTAAGTCTAGGTTTATTCGATACTATAGTAACTAAGAAGATCGGAACTCAGTTTTTATTAAATCATTTGAGTTAATACCACCACGTGATTTTCTCTATGTTATCTACGCAAATAAAAATATCTAAATATAAGCCAAAAATATAGTTAACATAATTGTACATGATTGACTAAAAATTAGTTCCCAACGAATATAATATTATCTACTCTATGTATTTAGTATTACGATCTGAAAATGTTAGACGAAAAAAAAATTTGTTTCGTAATTTGTTGTTCGGCAATCGATTAGCAAAAAACATGTATACGTAATACGTCTATCAATGATCAAAATATTATAAACTGTCAGTAACACAATATTTTAACAGTTTAAATCAAATACTACCTCATGTCTCGTATACAAGAAGATTCATTAAGCATGCTCACCGCGTTTTCATAGTTTAATTGTGTATGTATTAATATTCTGATTTTTGGAATTTTTTTAGTGTACAGTTAAAGATGATATTTTCGAATGCTTAGATTTAGATTTAAGGTGCATCATGTGACAACTTTGGTTTTTCAAATGTGAACCTAAACTAAAAATTCCATAAATATGTAAATAATAGATAAAATAAATGTTGATGTTAAAGTTTTTGATTCCCATCAACACGATCACGAGATATTCCACTTTTAAGTTTAAGTAGGAGAAAAGTAGTGAAGCGCTTTGAAAACGCCGCTCGCCGTGCTGCCACACAAATAATGCTTTTTACACCTTAGTATTCTATAGCAGAATAATTCAGAAACACAAATTTCGTTTACATATGTCAACGTTTTCAGAAATATTATATTATTTACGATTTGTAATCAAACATGTAGGTTGACATTTGAAAAACACTCTCTATATATGATACTTCCTAAATTTTATGAATAATCTAAGTATTTGAAAATATCGGCTTCACTTAAAAATCCCAAATATTAAATTTTGAATATATGCAAAAAGGAACGATGAAAATGAAGTGAGCCCTAAGCATGCTCAATGAATCACTCCGTATATTATAATAAAATGTAATAGTATGATGAAATTAAAATTTAAAAAAACGCACATACTCGGTTTTTCATATTTTCTGGTAAAATTCGAAAAAATCGAAAAATAACTTTCCTAAAGTCTCTCTCCAGTCAGATTTTCTTTTAGACAAAAATACCATCATTAAAGATCGGAGCAAAATTGGTAATAGAAAAGTTTTCCACAAAAACAAAAAAACCATAATATTTTACTAATATACTTCGTAAATTTTCACATTTTATCTCACTTTTTCCCTTTTATTGGGAAAACTGCCAAGAAAATCAAAAAAATGACTTCCTTCAAGTTCCACCCCAAGAAAATTTCCTTTCAGAAAAAGGTCTATCGGAGTAAGCTTTCTGGTAAAAAGTGTTCACATAAAAAAAAAAAATAATAAAAACCTTTATAAAACCAATACATTCTTCGCTGCATTCAGAATCTAAAATGAGCCAAGAACAAAAATATATTTTGTTCAAAAAACAAATTGTTCGTCAATCATCAATTCATAATTACTGTATCGCGAAATATTAACGACATGCATATTATATTTATACAAAATTACAATCCTTTAGATTCATTCGAGGTGAGAGTCTGTAGACTGTAGGAATGTTCAAAGCTAAACAAAACTCCTCCTTCTATAACAACTTGGTGAAATTCATATTGAAATTCAACCCAACATTAATCCTTTTCAATCCTTCTACAGAACAACTCTTATTTTCGAGTTTAAACTTAATTGATCCAGAGGAAAGCCGCTTAAAGTATACATAAGTTGCGAGCAAAAGATATGCGTATCTAATACATATTATGTGTGTACACACAGGTAACGGATATTATAGACACAGCAATTGTCTCTTTCTCGAGAGAAAGCAAACAAAAAAAAAAAAAAAAAAAACATTTGAGCTTAAAACGCATAGGTATAAAAAAAAAACTTCTATATTACGCGTGGATTTTTTTTTTTAACGGTCAAATAAAAATTTTGAACCTCGTGTTAAGTTGTCGAACATTTTTACTTGACTAAAAAACTACACTCGCATAAATCAAAAATTAACGCGAGAAACGCCGAATTATTTTTACGATTTTCGTTAAAATTTGAACTTAAAACGGGTTTAATTAAAATACGATACCCATACAATCTGCGGAATTTTCAAGATTCCTAAATCCGCGCACGTATAAGTTGTGAGTCGCGAGTTGAATTATTATTTCACGTTGTTTGTTTGTAAATAGTTAATTTTAAAGAATTTTTAGCCGGGCGGAACAAAGCATAATACTCTTTATCAAACATGTACAAATGAACCGGCGCTCTGGCCCCCCGTCCCTCCCTTTTCCCGGGCCCCGGTAAAAAACTTTCTCAAAAATAATTTCCGCGAACTTACCGGTCAGTTCGATCGCCTCGTCTAAGTTCACGGATTGTGCGATGAGACTTTTTGAAACTGCATAATCTGATAACATAAAAAAAAAAAAAAAAAATGTATTTTCATTCAGTGATGCGCGTTTTGGCAGGCACAAACGTACACAAATGGTGCGTTGGATTTTTTCCGCGGCTATAGTAATTTAGGTACAATAGTAATTATTATGGTACGCGAAATCGCATTCATACCTGCAGTGTCTTTGCCTTTCATTTTTGAAACGCCGCGAGAACCGACAGAAAAAAAAAAAAAGGAATTACGAAGCGAAATATTGTCAAACAACTATACATAGATATATATATATATAGATATATATATATATATATTTATATATAGCTGTTAAATTCACGTCCCCGAGCCGAAATCACATCGTTATTATCGTTATTGTCACTGTGTCGGAGCTTCGGAGGCTCTGTATTTATAATATATCCGCGTATGTATACAATACATATATATACACATATATATATATATATATATATGTGTGTGTATTGTAGGTCCCGTAAACCCGACGCGACTGATCAGTGGCATTTTATAATCAGTGTTGTTTTTCTACGGTAACCCCGACCGCGACAGCGGACCGCGTTGATATCTGTTTACACGGTGGTAGGGGCAACGGCGGTTTCAGAGAGAGAGAAAGAATAAAAAAAAATAACAGACAAAAAAACGATACGTCGATTGTAACACGCGCGCGTAATAATAATAATAATAATAATAATAATAACGCGCGCGCGGTGTGCCGGGTCGACTCGGGAACGTTGCCACGCCGCTCGCGGTCAGCGAGGCCGGAGCGCGGAGAACACGGGGACGTATCGGAACGAACAACACGTCGCGCTTTTTCCCGCCGCCCGCGGTTAACGGTACCGCCGCAACGTGTCGCGATACCCATCCGAGACGATCCATCGCCGTGACCTTGGCGGTCGCGGAGCGCTCGGGACAATAACGCGATGGGACCGTGAACAATGCGCGCACGGACGGTCGTGCGTCCGCCAGCAACAACCGTGCGTGTCGTGCGCCTCGTTTCGCAATGAGCGTAACGTTCGCCGCGCCGTCAACCCGGGCGCCGAGAATCCGGCGGCGTTCGTCTTTTCGGAACAAACGACGCGGTAATATTATTGCGAACGGGTTGTCGGGCCGGAAATCCAGTGGCGCACACGGATATTTTCAACGTGACGATGGGTGATGGGGGGGGGGGGGGGGGGGGGNGGTGGGGGGGTGAGAGGAGGGTGAGCTGGTACGCTACGAAATATTAATACACGGGAAATTGAACAGCGCCCGCAGTCAGTATTAAAACGGTCGACGCATCGGGAACTCGAACGTCAAATGCCGTGATGTCACGGCTGTCCAAATCCAATAGCTTGATAATTGAAAAGCACCTGAAGACACCTGTAGGCATACGGGCGATAGGTACAGATACAATGACACAGCTATAAACATACGTCGATTGCCGACACGCGTGTTTGTGTTTGAACGAATTTCCAACTAATTCACTGTATTATGAATTCGTAACACAAAATATTATATTTTCCTTATGTAAATGGAAAATAAACAATAACAAAATTGTTTTATTTTAACATGTGGTTACACTGATTCGAAGACTATGGCATTGATTATTTTCCTCGGTAATCCCGGAGCACACAGTTATCAGCTGGTTTCGTTTCTACCGCTAACGACTTGCTGCAGATAAGCATGGCTATGGGTTTGGGTTTACCGTTGCCCGCAAAATGTAAACTGCTCGTGCCTGCACAGACTTTTGAAAAACGCAATAACGATAAACGGGGGCGATAATATTAATTTCGATGTATAATAAAAAACGATATTCGCGCGTACACTACGTACAAAAATACCTGCCTACTGGCACCACCAGCTGCGTCGCGCGTGCATCGTGTCGTTACACTGTATATACGTAGGAACTTTATATTTTTGGACGATTCGCCAAAGCAACGAGAGACCGACCAGTTGCTGATTCAGCTTCGGTTTCGACCGTCGTGAGTCAATTTTTTTTTTTTCTCGAATTTTTTCGACACAATAATAATATGGTATTTTTAACTTTTAACTGCTGCGGCCGACCGCGCATTCGGTTAAACATTGTGTCGTGGACCGTCATCGCTTACAGACGATTTCCGCATTACGTATTCCGCGACGCAACAACTATACAACGCCACAAAAGTCATTTTTACCATAATATACGAATCGAAACCGTGTTTCATAACAACATTTCAATACACGATATGCGCAGAGTTTATCGAAATTTCATCAATACAATCAAATTTGCCATGAAAATCTAATTTTCTTAAAAAATGACCTACGTAGAAACTATTTGAAATCTTCTAAAATGTTTTTTAACGCTAACATGTATTTGAACATACTCCCTCTAACTCCGCCTATTTAAGGAATCTATAATATAAGTTGCTATTTGAAAACCAAATGTAGATATATGTAGTTTTTTTACCCCCGAAAATAAGAACAACGGAACATTTTAGAATATATGATGATAAAATGTTTGTAGTTTTGTACATGTCACGGTCATTAGTCATTTTTTGAAGAAAAAAGTATTTCATGGAACATTTGATTGTAACGTGAAATTCGATGAACCTGTATGTATATAGTGTATAATTAGGTAACTTAAAAATTGCGATAAAAATAATTATCGAATATACCTCGATAACAAAATCGGAATTTCGGGTAACCTGCACTAAAAAATGTAAAAATATATCCAAGAAACTGAATAGTAAATTTTTTAAATCGATTGCGAAATATTAGCAAATAACCAAAACTTTCCAGAGATGTTATTATATAACGGTCGTCATTTAAGAACTCTTAAGAATTTTGACTTTTTTAGGATGAGAAATAAAGTATATGCAAAACAAGTCAAAGGTTACAAGACAATAGTGTTGTAACCTAGTAGCTAACCTTGTAGCTACGTCAAAAGCGTTAACTATTTGTTAACGCTTTTGACGTAGCTGGTAACCAATACTTGGGTCATCGCTTGTGTTCACACCGACATCGCAATATTTTTTATTTCTAACAGGGAGACGGGGTAAATTTTCCTAGGAAGATCTTACCAGCGGTATCATTTGCCTATTATAATCTTACCGAGGGTAACATTTTCCTAACACAATATCACCTCGCTCGCTTCATAAGATAATCGGAAAATAACGGGGATAATGGTATCCAAATAATAGTAATAATAACGGTGACAATGGTGTAAATATGAGTGCTTACAATACTACAGATGTAACAACGAGTATAAACTATTTAAAAATAATATTGATTTTAGTAATAATAAAAATAAGAGTATTTTGAGAACACAACCGTACACGAAGTATGCATTCTACATACGTATTAGATGTTTTTATCAGACTACATTGAGTATTTTTATTCTTGTCGTATAAAAATTTAAATGATATTAGGACTAAATAAAATGTATAAAATGGTTTTTTTTCAACCGTCAACTACAGTAGTTGTAAATGGCACTCATTAAAATTATGTAACCATCACAAACACAATAATTGTTATTTACGTTGATAATTTTTTTCTGTCATTAGGTACTTCGTGAACATAAACAATTAATATAGATACGATTACTGCGCAGAAATATGTGTAACTAAAAACGAGATAGAACTATTTTCCTTGAACCGTTTTATTAAAAATTTGTCAACGTAGTCGATATAGAAATTAAGCAAACGTACATGTTTCTTTGCCCCACCCTCCCCCTCTCTGAAAAAACATGAAATAATTTTTTCCCCTAGTTTACTTATTCGTTCTTCAATCCTCAAAGTGTCCTATAATAACAATGAATTCAAAATTTAGAATATATTTTAAATACATACAATTATTGAAAATCAAGTAGGTATCATAATACGGAAACCAGAATTTGGTAAGTATCTAAAAATATTAAAGTCAAGATTTTTGTTTTTTTTTTTCCTAATCATTATATTATAGAAACGTTTAAGCAATATTTTAAAACCATTTTAGATTCTGAGTGGATCGAAGAAGCTTATGGTTTAACAAAGATGTTTATTCTATGGACAACTTTTCTACCAGAGGACTTACTCCGATTTTTACGTGTAGCAACTTTTCTGAAAGGAAATCGGTGTGGGGATGTACTTTAAAAAGGTCATTCTTCGATTTTCTCAAGAGTTTTCTCAGTAAATGTGATAAACTGGGAAAAAACAAAAGAAAACCGGGGAAATTGGTACAACATTAAACAAATATTATTAAAGAAAAGATATAGAGCTTATTTCATTATTTTACTATAATATGGCATTTATATTGTTGACAAAGTATCATTATTAACTGAACTCCACTCAAAATCGTTTTTTTTTTTTGTAAGCAATTGGTAAACCATTGCTTACAGGTGTACATTAATTTACCTATAACAGTGGCTGCACCCATCACAATTATCCTAGGACGTTTTTTTTTTTAAATTTTTACTACCACTCCATATATCTTAAATAAATATATACTTTTATTTTTCAAACTGGAACCCCCTTTTCAAACACAAATTCGAACAAAAAATATTTGTCTAGATATTTTCATGTGCATAACATTAATATTAGATTTACCGTTTATAGTTCAGACGGTTCCATAATGATAACAAAAAAAAAACAACTGAAATTAAACTTATTTAAAACCCGCAAGAAAATTGCTGGTTCATGATTAAAAAGCTGTCCTAGGATGATAAGGAGGGGTGCTGTCGCTGTTATAGCCTTATAAGTGAGAAGTTGGATAGGTAGTAGAGGGGAAATTTAATGTATATCTGTAAGCAATGATTAACCATTATTAACGAAAGAACGTTTACAAACGGAGTTCCGTTGATAATGTTGCTTTGTCGACAATATATACGTCATATTATGGTTAAATAATTGCATATTATACATAATATATTTTCTTTAATAATATTTGTTTAATATTGTACCTATTTTCCCGATCTCCGGTTTTTCCTCCATTTTTCCTGATTTCTCCATGTTTTTTCCCAGTTTTTTACATTTGTTGAAAAAAATTCTTGGGAAAATCAAAAAATGATCTTCTTAAAGTGCCATCCCAGTTAGATTTCCTTTCAGAAAATAATAGAAAAAAATTAATAATATCATTGTAAAATCATAAGCGTCTTCACTCAGTCTAAAAAAATCACTCTGTATTTTATAATACAGAGTGGTTTTTTTTTTGTTTTGATGTTTATACATCACTTAAAAAAAAAAAAGATTAATAAGTAAAACCTGTAAGACTTTGACACTTTGTAAATGGTAAAAAATATATTTTAAATTATGAAGATACCAGTACAACGTTCGGATTAAAATATTAAAAACATACAGGTACTTACCGGAACGATAACAATATTTTATTGTTACAACGTGCGTTTGCTCGAGAACAAAACTTGATTTATTCGAGTACCTACTACACAGCTAAATGCATAATTTTTAATTTAATCTCTAACTTCAAGAGACATCTTAGGTTTATTTTCTAACGAGTTTTTTTTTAGTCACTGTAGTATTATATGGATATGTATTCCAAGTTAAGGTTTTTTTGAACAGAGCTATATTTTTGTAGTTTTTATAGATTCCGAGAGTCATGAAGAATATATATTGTTTTACTATGATGTGTATTATAATTGTAAATTATTTTTCTATTAGGAACCATACTCCGATCATAAACATAAAAAGAGTTGGTTACTGGTACCAAACTTTGTCTGATGAATCAAAAAGATGATTTTGATTTTCCATGTAGTTTTCTTAATAATTTAAAAAACTTCGCGAAAATGGGAAAATATACGCCATAACGATTTTTATTTCGATTTTTGATTATCCAGTTAGAATAATTGTAGAAACCTGAAACGTATAGTAACGTGGAAATATTTTCAAAACATTCTGTCGATTTTCGAGATATTTTTTTAGCCATTTAAAATTATAGGGTTTTTTTTTAGTTTTTATTTTGTTTTACGTGGAGTATAAAAGCAAAAATGTTTGAAAATTTAACTCGAGGTTCTGAACTGTCCGGAGGTTTATACCAAGTAATAATTATTAACGGTTATAAAAAAAAATCGAGCTTATTGGATAAATGTATTTTTTTTTTGTGTGTTATTATTATACATGACGTTATAATCCAAGTGAAAAATGGTTAATTGTAAACACTAACTGGCCGTTATATACAATACACAGAATATTTAGGCAATGTTAATTATAAAAAACTGTCGTATAGGATAATGCTAATATTGTAATAGCCACAGTACCGTAGCTAAAGTTAAATTGGCCTCGCTTAGGCAAATTTAATTTGTAAGCCCATTGTATTCCATTAATATTTAATTTAAACATACTATAAAAAACAAACGGACATACTTCGCACGATGGGTGGGCCACTGTTGTAGATGAGAAGTTTGACGATTTACCATTCCGTGTTGTTGTAAAAATGGAAATTAAATTAATTTATTGTTATTTTAATTTCGTGATATTAAAGAAATACCATTATGGTAATGTATGTAAAAATAAATAAATATATCAATCCTGGTATTTGTATTATTATTAATGTTTCACAACAATAAGCTGAGCATATTAAACATTTTATGCACTTGGCACTGAAAGTATTGGTCAATGTACATTATACAGTATCTATTCTATATACACAATTATCCACGTGGCTTGAAAAACTCGGTCGATGTATACAACTCCCGGTCAGTGTTTGCAATGATCAGTTTTCACACTTGGACCTTAACATATAATATACGGACAAGCTCTTTTGATACACAAGAGTAAAATAGGTACATGTAACTTGCCTAATGATTGTTTTTACATACTTGTTTTACTAATTATTTTTAATAACATGCGTTTAAAGATCAAATTAGTATGAAAATCGAAAAAACCACGACATTTTAAAATATGTTTAACCGAAATTCTCTCAAAATCAATTTTTATACATATTTATGGAATAGTTTTACAGATTATGAGCCGTACCCTTTAAATACAAAATTAGAATTTTCATACAATTAAAAAAACATAGATTTCGAATTTTTCATCTTAGTAAGTATTCCTTAATTAGACTCTCACTCGAGCACGGAAGACGTTATTACGACTTAATCTAAAAATAATTATAAAGTGCCTAACATTTGTTATTTGAGTTTAGCAAGGATAGGATGAGTATAGGATCAATTAAGTGTTTCACAATTAGTTTCAATTTAGTTTTACGGTTTGATAAAACATTTTAGGGTCATCTTTAATTGAGATACTTACACCGACCTGTAAAATTCAATATAATTTCAATTAGACACACAGACAACAGTTGGTAAATTAGAGCTATACAGTTAATGTATACATGTAACCAATAAAAGATAAGAAATTATTAATTTTAGGCTAAATTATTTTTTTTTTTTTTTTTATTATTATTTTATCTGAAATCTGTTTTGTTCTATACAAATTACGTTCGAGTACGTTATCGGTTTAAAATATAACAACACAAATACGTCGAGTACAAATTTCTGAACACAATTTTCACTTTAGGATATATTAAATAATAATATAAAATAATAAAATAATAAATATACCTAGTAAGTAATAAAACGAAGAGACTACGATACTAAACAGGAGTTATTTTTTTTCTAAGGTAAATGTAAAGTTCCTTCACCTTAGCGGAATCTGGCGGAATCTGGCGAAATCCCGGGACGTACATTCGTACTTGACACCTTGTTCGTAAACAATCGCCACTATCACTGCACTATTGCCACTGTCGTGTATACTACGAAAGTCGGGTGGTCTTTATTTTTGAACATTATTAATTTTGATGACCGAACTTCCCCCCTCCTTTTTTAAACATTACTCAACGCATTTCTTTCTGTCTTAGTCACTTTGAATTCCGATCATAATAAAAACAATGAATCCTTTTGGTCATTCATCCATCACTGGATGGTACGTACCAGACTATCGGATTATGGAACTATGTCAAGTAGAGACTATTTTTTAAGCGTATCGAATACCGGCAGATGATATTTATAAATAAAAATATTTTATCGTTGAGTAAAAAATTATGTGGAAAAAATCTAATTTATCAATTTTTTTTTTCTTTAACATGTATATTACCGATTTAAGAACAATGTTGCGGACCGACTAAGTTTTGAAATTATAGCTTTTTGAAGTTCTGATATTATGCAGTTATAATATGTTATATTAAGTAACTAAATATTGTCTTTCCTGAAGAATATTTGTCGTAGCTTAAATAAACCTATTTTAATACAGAATTCTCGTGTTCGAAAGAAAATTGTTCGCCAAATATGTTTCTTATAATACATTAATGCAACAAATTCATTTGTAGCTCAACTTCGATTTAAAAAGTCCACCTCTGTTTAACGAAATTTGGAAATTTCAGACTGGGCATTCTGAAGGAAATTAAAACATTTATTGAAGTTTTTTCATTAACTGAGAACTAAATACTTGTTTACGTCGTTCGTGCAGATTACCAGGAACTCATTAAACCGATCATTATATAGTCAGATGTAATTGACTATGATTTGAGTTTAGAAACAGTGTTTCTTAAACTTGTTGAGATTACAGAACTCCAAACAATAATAATTTTTTATGCGGAACCCCTGAAATATAAAAACATTATTTTTTTATTTTAAAAATAAATCTAACTTATTTTATGTAATCATATCGGTGATAATATTATTGTAATAAATTTAATAAATTATTAAAAGCGCACTCATGATGGGGCAACGGGGGAAAATTTCGGGAAACTCGCTATAAAAATAGCTAAACTCACCATTGCACTGCACACCTGACTGCAGCGCAGCACATGTGCGGCATATCTTTGCTAATTTTTCTTTTTTTATTATTATTATCGTTCAATAATTAATTGCTGTAGAATTTTAATTAACCTTTTCCAGGCCTTTCCGAAACCCCTGCGAGTTATTCGGCGGAACACCAGTATTCCGCAGAACACAGTATTAAGAAACACTGTCTTAAGGTACTTATTATGGAATACGTTCTGGTATAATATTATGTAAGTATAGCGCTGAATTGCATACAATATTGGTACGTATCTAATCTATAAGTTATAACCTAATTGTCCTAATTGACAATGAAATAATAAAGTTACGGTATTTTTTCGCCTACTCGAAGGTACACAATATTCAAATTATAATAATTAAAACAATTATAAGCAATACAAATAATTATCTACGTTCAGTGGCGCCGATCTATATATGCACAGGTATTGCGGATTACCTTGGTTCAATATTCAAACGTTTTCCTTCCCATTTACAACAAACGTAGGAATGTCTACGCGATTTATTGTGTGGTTAAAAATGTTTGTTTTTTTTACATAAAATTATTAAAATTAAAATGTTATTAAAAAATGTAATTAAAATGCTTGTTATATTTTTGAGAAATAAATAATAAATAAAAATATTGAAATTTTAAAATAACAATACAAATATGTAAAATTATATATCAAAATTCAGAAGGTACAAATTAAAATCAAATTGATTTTACGTAGGTAGGCACCAATACTCAAGTATATTTATTTCATCCACTTCATAATAACGAATTTGTTGCGCTAGACAATTTTCTCGGCTGAAATCTTATTATTAGTATGAAATACGATTATTATAATAATATATACAATACTATTAAAGAAAATATGTAATGCATCGGTATTATTTTACCATAATTTGACATATATATTGTTCACAAAGCAACACTATAAACCGAATTCCGCTCAGAATCGTTTTCCGTTAACAATGGTTAATCGTTGCGTACTGATTAACATTAAACTTCTACTTTACCTTCCCAACTTCTCATCTACAACAGTAGCCCACCCACGTGTGAAGTGTATCCGTCTTTTATTTTTATAGTAGGTACCTAGCGCATATGTATATTCCTAGGTACTGTAACTGTACGTTTTATTCATTCGAACGTCGAGCCATCATAGATAACTTACGATTAGGTACAAAAATAAACGATATTCAACTTTAATAAGAGCCTAGTTGGATTAATCCACCTTGCTAAGTACTTTACCAACCGTCGTGGTTCAAACAAAAATCTACATTTATTAACAAGATTTATCTATTCATATAAATTTTAATTTACCAGTGAGTAGGTGTTTTTCTATATCTGACAGAAATATTTGCAATCTTTAGTTCGTGTTCCAATTTGTATAGAATTTTTGCGATGCCTTCAATATAAGATTCTTCTTCCTAACATCTTCAGTTTTTAAGGACATAATACCAAAGAGTTTTCCCAAACACTTTAGTTGTTTAATAAATCAAACTATTTTTGTTCTTGTGATCTCTTGTGCGTACTGCTCATTAAAGGCAAATCTCAACAACCAATGAGATTAGGAATGTCTCAATTCCTACATACTGGAATATAAAAATATTAGATACAGTATATTCTGGTTAGTGGTAGCATAGACATCTATGACACCATGATTTGGAGCAGTTGAATTTCATGATTTTTTTTTTCAAATTCAAATCAACATTATTGAAAGATATGTGGTCCATTTAAGTATGTACTCATTATCCCAGAAAGTATTAACATTTGTTTCTGAATTTATTTTATAGAACATTAAGGAAACAAGCAACTCAACAAATTTTACATGTAATTATTTTTCGTCCTTATTTTTGAGGGTAAAACCACTACCTACTTGTGATTTTCAAATGGTAACCTATATTAAAAATTCCATAAATAGATGGAATATTAAATTAAAAAAATGTTGGTGTTGATTGAAAGTTTTGATTTCCATCAACACGTTGACAAGATATTCCACTTTTAAATATTATGTGTGTGGCGGCACGGTACGTGGCATGTTAATGCTTTCCGAGATAATAAATATAACCAATCAAATCCATCAACTTGTATTCATGACTTAGATTTTCTTGAGTTGTAATGAACAGGATTAGGGAACATTTAATTATTTTGTGGTTTTTTTTATTATTGTTTACTAAGGGCATTTTGCTGGTCTGAAGAAAAATATACCCATCTGGGAAATCATCTCCACCTTAAATATTTGATTACCTAATACATAATATTGGTATACTAGAATCGGTTTTCAAACTTACATACTTTTAAAATTTAACTCTAAACAATTAGACTGTTATTTATTAGTTTATTTAATCAAGCATAGCACTGAAAATAGATTACACAATTTTTTAGTAATTTAAATTTTTTTTATAATCATTTTTTTATTCTCACTAAGTGTTTTCTAATGTTTAATAATATGTATACGTAGTAGAAGGAAACATAGTTCTGAAAAAATATGCGAAATAAGGATATTATGAAAATAAAATACACAATATAAAGATATTCAGTCTCCACAAATTCCACAATCGTTTCTATTTATTTTTTCGGTTAACAAACATTAATTTTTTTGGTCAGTTGTCTAATACTAGTTGTTAGATACTCAAATGTAGTGATGTTAATTCTTCATAAAATATAAATTTAAAAAAAAAAAACGTTAGATACTAAACAACTCACCAAGAAATATAAACGTTATATTATTTTAAAATTAACAAATCTTAAATTATGGTAAAGAATAAATTAAGGATTAAAATGTATTGAATTGTTATGTATGTATATATGTATGCAGGTATGTATATTTTAAGTGTATAGCTTTTTAGGAGAGCTGCCTCTTTACTCCATTCAACTGACGCTAACAGGAAATTTAACACAAACTTTAAATATAACAAAACGGAGACTAAGTTATTTAACATTATACGAGTAGTACAAAACTCATGCCTCAGGTACCGAGAACATATTTTTCATATGAAGACATGGATAATGTCTGGTGTTGTATTCCACATCGTTTTCTTCCCAAGTATCGTCATCACTTGACTCGGAACGAACCATTTTGATGGTCGCAACTATGGGTACTGTTGTGAAATGGTCTTCAGAAAAGGGCATTAAGTTCTTCAACTTGTGCCTAGAAAATGGCCAATCAATAAATTACGAAAAAATCTACATCACAAACTGTTTAAGAAAGTAGATTCTTACCAAATTCCTCGGTTAGCGACAGCAAATACTTTGGGAAGTGGGAATCCGTTAAATGTACTAGCCACAGGTATTGTGTAGGCTCCCATGTCTTCAAAAATAATCCAATCTCCCATTTTCATTCTTGGCAAATTTACCTGATCAATCACTTGATCTAGTCCATCGCAGGTAGGTCCCCAAATAGAACACGGAGACGTTTTACCCATTGGATAATCCTGTTATAATTAAAATTAAAAAGTTAAAAATTTAACCTTTAAGAAAAAAAAAAAACCCGCAAATAAATTTAATATCAACTTACATTCAAAGGTTTAGGAACAACAATTGAATGATCATACAGAATGCTATTGAAAGAACCATATACACCATCATTAATAAAATACATCATATGTTCGTCAATAGTTGAACGTTTCTTCATGGAGTGAATTCTTGTGGCCAGAGTAAAAGCAGATGCTGCAAAATATCTACCGGGCTCTGCCATGACAGTCACACCACTACTAGCAGGGAACCATTCATCCAGTGCATCATTTACTATATCAGCAATCTGTACATATATAATAAATTTATATATATATATATATTTAATAAGCATTTCTTTATTCAAAATATTATACTTTGTCCAAGCAAGTATCCTTATTTCCAGGGTATCCTCCACCAATGTTCAACAAATACATGTTAATGAAACCCAACTGCTCAGCAAAGGTGAAAACATCTGACGCAGCAGCAATTGCCCTTCTAAAAGCAACAGGTTCATTGCATCCAGAACCAACATGGAAACTCACTCCGACAATAGACAAATCTAAATCTCGGGCCAACGTTAATAATACAGGTGCTTCAGTTACAGGATCGCAGCCATATTTGATACCAAGGGGACACTGTGTTTCAACAGCATCACAACGAATTCGTATAACCAAGCTAGAAAACATATCAATTTTTAAATGTTGTTATTCACATACAAAATATCTATAATCTTACTTGCAAGATGGATTGATAGATTTAATTTTGTAAAGTTCCAATTCATTATCAAATGTGGTAAGGTCTACATTTTGGTTCATTGCATATTTAATATGGGAAGTCATTTTAGCTGGATTGGCAAATATTATACGAGAGGGACTCACTCCCAAGTCCAAAACTTTTTTTATTTCGGCCTACAAATAAATAACAATAAAATGAAATTGAATTACAATTCATCAATATTATTAATTATTTATTTTCAAAAATATTACTTTGGAAGCACAATCGAAATTCAACCCAAAAGCAGCTAGAGTTTCCAACACAAGAGAATTGTCGTTGCATTTCACAGCTAAAATTTAAGGTTAATTCATTTTAAACACTTAAATAGAATACATTGCACAGTAAATTAAATTAAATATATTATAACAAGTACTACAAATATAACAATGTGGGACATCTGTACAATCTGTACAAAGAGTGAAAAGCAGCAATTTTTTACCAATGCCTTTTAAGGTTATAAATATTTGCCCATATTTTGTCAGTCTATTATCACATTTAATCAATTATAAAAATGCATTACTATTTTTGCTATACATTTTTATATTTTATTTTATTACTTTAGAATTAAAAATACAAATTTAGATTTTTATTATTTTTTTAAAATCCAAGATAGTTATTTTATAAAATTAACTTTTACAAAAATTGTTGGTATTTAATAATATTAATAGAGATACATTAATCATTAAACAATTTTTAGTTTTATTAAAATTCAAATTTATTCAATAGTAATTTTACTAGCATTTATCACGAACGTCCCGAGAGTCGGGAACAAACTTGCGCCACCAATCAGAAGCATTCACTTTTGTTATCGATATTTGTGAAAACAGATTTCTTATCAGAGAATATAAAAATATTATCGGTATAATATAATATATATGTGCTGTATATAAACTATGTATGAACAATACTCATTTTGATCTAAATCTTTGTAGTGTGATGCCCAACAAAACTGGAAGGTTGAACACAATGGTCGTTGCCGTACGGCATAATCATCCTAGTGTGGCAGGACCTTATCAAGGTAAATTGAAATTTTATCACCCACATACTAATTTTAAAGCCAAAAACAAATTATTGGTACAAGGTAAAAACGGTAGTACTCCATTTCTGTAAATTTTTAAAGAAAACAAAAACAAAGTTGGACCTTTCTTCATCTGTATTCCTAATCTTTTCACTTCAATATTAGTAAAATTAAATTCTTTTTCCACTAAATACTACTTCTAATGTGCTATCAAATCAAACCATAAAATCAAAATAAAAAAAAATTGACTACTACCATTTTTTCTCCTGTACCCTTCAAATTATTTTTGTTGTTATCAGTACCTATTAAACTAATATTATATATTACTATCATCTGTATTATGCTATAGTTTTATTAATCTTAGTTTAAAGATTGAATATTAAAATACATTAATTAATTTGATCAAATATTTATCTGAACTCACCATAAAATGGTTTTACACGGGGTAGTTTTTGCTGCCATACTCTTGCTTTATGCACAAGATCACCAATATCAAGTATATAAAATGGATCAAATATTTCCTAATTAAGAAAAATCAAAATGTATTATAATTTGATAACAACAGGAATATCATACAATGATAAATAAAGATAATTATCACAATACCTTTGTTCTAACTATATCCTTAATAATTTCTTTGACCGTGACTTTATCATCAATGACATGGATTTGTTCTTCAAGCCCACAAATTCTCATACTTATTTCTCTTGTATAATACAACTAGTGTCTTATATATTATATTTAATCACCAAAATTGTTAGCAAATTGAAAAGGTAAACTGTGAACAAAACAAAATTAAAATAATAATTAATACTTGTAACTTTTAAATGTACTTTTTAAATCATTTTTTGGTAGAACGAATATTCAGAGTACCTAAATAAATTTCAACAGATAATAAACATGATACCTATTTAAAAAATGATACAAATCTTAAATGACATAAACCAAATAGAATCAAAATAGATACTATTAATTATTTTTTGTATCCTATTAATTGATATATCTTTGAAGAAGCCAGGAAAGTTATTTGTATAATATCCATACAATTTTTGTCAGTTATGTATTAAAAAAAATATATTAAAAATCAATTGGTGAGGTTGTATCTATGAATTAAAAATCTGCGCATAAAACAAAATGAAATTGAATTTTTTATAGTTATAAAAATTAAATTAGCTTTTTAAGTACCCAAGTAAATAAAATCGAATACAATTTCTCAAGTAGGTACCCACTAATTAAAACAATAATTTTCTCATAGAATTAAGTACTATAATCTTAATAATTAAATAGTTACAATTTTAATATAAATACTTATTAGTTAATACTGCCAAGTCACACACTGATGATAATTATTAATTTTTAGGTATTTCTAATAATTAACATTTTATAGAATAGCATGATTATCTATATAATTATGTAATATCTTTGATAAGAACAATAGAAAAATAATTAAAACCTAAATAATTAGTATTTCATAACATTTAACAAAATAAAAAAGCATAATGTACTAAGAATTATAAGTCAAGGAAATAATTTGAATTTTATTTTTTTTTATTAAATAAATATGAATTATAAAATGAAAATCATTAAAAGAACTTTTCAAATTTGTATTAATTTTTATATTTATTTTACACTTGTATGAATATGATACATCTTAATTGTATAACATATGAATGACATCACTTTTAGATCCAGAGTGTAGCGAGGGAGCTGTTGGTTTTACAATACTGTTTATTTTTTCTTTATCATTTTTTTTTTTTTTGTTCTAGTCCACGGACACGTTTTTTCCCTGCCAACTTGCTCTGATTTTTACACGTAGCAACTTTTCTGTAAGCTCAAGTTGTCTAAATGGTACTTTAAAACAGTTATTTTTTAATTTCCGACGACATTATTTCATAAAAACACGGACGTTTTCTACAAGAAAAAATGATTTAATCAAAAAATCACAAGACACCTTTTTTGTTGCCTTTTGATTTACTTTTTTAGGGTATCATTGCAAAGCTTTTAAGTCAATTTTGAGCTTTTAAAGAATTTTAATTTTTGGGAGTTTTTTTTCAGTTATAAATATACTTACGGGACTTGAAACTTGGTAATAATACTTATATTGGACTTACCTAGACGTGGTAAAATTTCAAAATCACCAGACAACTTTTTGTTTTTTTTTTTAATACACGTTTTGAAATCAAATTTTAACGACAATCGCAAAAAAAATTATGGCACTTCAAATTATGTATTACCGAACTGCACTCAGAATCGTCTTTCATCAAGCAATGGTTTATCCTACCTTCCCAACTTCTCACATACAATAGTGGGTGCTTCCATCCCCAGTATTACTTTTTTTTTAAGTATAACACATTAAAATATTCAAACTCTAGTTTAAGAATAAATATATACCAACCAATAAATTTATTTAAACAACAATTAATAAAATATACATAAAGATCAATAAATTGATCTATCTTACATAAATCAAACATAACCTAACTGAATATATTTAAACGAACACAGTAAAACAACTGATTACAGATACCTCTTAATAATAGAACTTCTAAATAGTGAAATATAATGAATTATTAAATTAATAATAAGTAATTAATTTAATAATAAATGAACACATTAAAAATAACACTTAATAATAAGAATTTTATAATAACAGTTTTCACATAAATACAGTTATTTATTTATCAATATTTGTATCACGTAAATATGAAAAAATAAAAGTAGTACCTACTCAAATCAGTAAAAATTATATATAGTTTTTTTTCAAATAATATGAATAGTGAAAATATGTAATTTCACATTTATTTATAGATACCAATATCATATGATAAATTTGAAATCATTAAAAATGTATTAAATTATTTTTACTGTTATTATTAATATTATTTATTTAATTGCAAACGTTTATTCCGCATAATTAATTAAATATAATTGCTTTTTTATATATATTTGTATAAATACAATTACCTACATATTTTATTCTAAACGTTTGCCTAATAGTGGACACTCCTCTAAGGATATTTTCAAATTCTCTGTCAACTTAGCAATTAGCAATTAGCAATTTCATAATAATAGTTAATTTTATATAATAATTCACTAAATTTGAAAATTATTTTTACTGTAAATATTCAGATAAACTCTTATTTCTATATGTTTAGTATCTGCAACTATTTTACTTACGAGGCAGCTCAGTAGCAATATCTTAATGAACAGCGTAAAGATCAATCAGAAACAATGTCAGCAATGCCACGGTGGATCGACGTTTAGACCGGATTGCCAATTTGCTGTACGCCAATCGTTCCTTGTAGCAGACCACTTTACCAGCTGACGCTGTCCCTGTAAATTAAATTTTTGGTTTAACACAATATTAAATATTTGAAGTACGTAGGTATGAACTATTGATTTAGTATAAACATCTTAATTATGATATTTATTTTTTTTTTAGTTACCCTGGTATTGTGTAAAATACTAATACAATCATAATAGTATAGTACGTATATAAAATTAAGCAACGGTAAGAAATATGAAACATGAAGCACTCGTGACTATAAACTGAATAAGCTGCTAGTAGTAACATAGTCTAGTACATCACATTCAATTATCTTACATTATTATCAGTGTTCATACAAATAAAGATCAAAGATCAATGTTTTATCTTAAAAGTTAAACTGTAATTTTAAAAATTATATGCTACAATATAGTACTAAAGAAATTTGGTAATTTTGTCATTTTAAGTTTATTATTATGAATTACTACCTAAATTTCAATTCAACGGCTTTAAAAATACCTAGATATCATTCAATCATGTATTTAAATTAATGTACTGGATTACAACACTTAATGGCAAATAACAATACATCATTAAAGTTTTTTATTTTATTACATAGCTAAAACTAAATTAAATTGATATAGATGAACAATTTACAAATTACGATTTGTATATAACAACAACCTATAACCAATTAGATTTCAAATAATAATTTTTGAGATTACAATAATTATTATTAAGCAAATTAAATAATAACAACAAATAGGTGTGTAGGTACAAATTAAGTATGTATCCCTACATCACAATTAAAATGCTCAAACCACATAACATCCTGAATATAGTTTCATTATTTTGACCTTGAGTACTTAATAACACATAAGTATTTCATGCCATCATGATTTAATCACCTTTACATTTAACGAATGAAACCCACTTCATACAGAAAAAAAAAAATTTAAAAAAAACAAGTGGTAGGTAGGTGTAAATAAAAGTAGGTAGCTAATCTTCTTAGCAAAATATCTTAATGATGAATCAATCAAAATAGGTACGCAACCTACCAACATTAGTATTTTGCTAGTAATAAAAAATAATCACAGAATTTCTTTTAAACTCTTTTGGCATGTTTATTTATACAATTGTTACTAATTTTTTTTTTTTTAATGAAATATAAAATGCTTGCTAGAAAATCTCTAAATATTATTTTGTCCAAAAACAACTAGGTACATATATATAAATTAAAACTAATCTGTCGATATAAAAGACACTAACGTCGACAAAATATATGATTTGAAATGGAAAACTTACGAACATTGGAAGTAGGTAAGCATATTAATTTTACTATAAGGGTATCTATCTCGAAATGTATACCTACAATAACAGATGATGTCTAATGAATCACACAAAGACGTGAGGTTTCCTGGTTTTATTTTTAAATAGTGGGGGGGGTGAAGCAACGGTGCTATAGAACAATATCCAAAATTACGAAAGCTATCCAGTATCCACGGGAAATTTGTTCGTGAGGGTTATTTCGAAAAAAACGACACTGAAGTCTGTAAACTCGGCAGAACCACCGAGACAAGTCCAAGAGCCCCTCCCTCCGCACGACTACTACGACGTCTAAAACGGAAGCCCCGGGTATGTAAATAAGTAAATTGTACGCGAATAATAATCGCACATCGACTTACCTTAGAAGTGGAACACCACCGCCCTAACTGAATTCCGTTTAACGGCGGAATTTTGACTGTATATTGAAAACGGGTAAAAAACGAAAAACGCACATAGGTAACGAACGTCCGGGCGTAAGGGTCGAACGGTGACGAAAATACTGGTGATAATTCGTGTGTTATTATCAAAGTACACGGAGTGAAGTGTATTATTTTCGTGGGAGGGGAAGGAGGGGACGAAAATAAAGTCGTCGCCACCGTGAAACAGTGTGACCTCGACCGGACGAACGGACCGTAGTGTACTGTAAGCACAATTATAGTATTATCATAAGCATACACAATCGTGCCCTGCGGTTGTGCTCTGCTACGGCTACTTCGGCACGTGCAACACAATAATACGGAACGTTCGATTTTGCAACAAATTCGAGATGTTATTGTCAATATTCTCGTTATCGCAAACGTCCCGGTATCGCGCACGTTTTACCGAAATAAATTGCGCGATAAGAAACGCGACGGACCGTCGTCCCGGCGTTTGGCGACGAGTGCATAATAATATTTACGGTGCACACCGCGCATCGGTACTGTGCCGTGTGACCCCGCCCGGGGCCGGTGCAGTGTCGGTAACTTTGCAAGTGATATGCGCGAAAAGCGAAACGCGCACTTGGACGTTCGTGCCTACAATAATAGTATTACACACCGGAGCAAATAATAGCAGCTCGCTTTCGGATTATTTTCCGTAAAACAACGATTGCGGCAGGATATTCCGCCGTTCTCGTTTTTCGTCTTTCTCTCCCCCCCCCCCGAAAATTTGACAGGGTATTATTACACGCCTAGGTTAACCCAGGTCCACGTGTCCATGGCATATGACGTATTGTAATCGCAGTCCCGCGAGTCGTCCGCCGCGTCCTATACGTCCTTTGCGGAACGTTTTTTAACGACTTCGACGGCGTACGACGAATACAGTATTAATCGGTACACGAGAGTAAATAATTGGCCAAAAACGTTTTTCACGCACCGAATCTCGGCCAGTGACGTAATTGCGAATCGCACATGGGTAATTTAATTTTATCTTTGAGTATAATAATATTTTATCAACGGCTTGCGCAATTAACCGACTAGGAGTGGGTCCCGACGAGCGAGCGCTGCCGGATAGATTTAAAATATCGTTTGTTCGTATTACTGCGGATTGTTCGCGGCGGTTTTACTTTTGTTTCGAATCGCACGAGGTAAATCACAATTTTGACGGTGGTGGGGGGGGGGGTTGGGGGGAGATAATACGTGTGGCCCGACGTAAGGGAAAAGTTGACCCGCTTGACATTTCGCTATTCTACTCGGAACGCTGAAAATGGTGCCACTGCGTACACGACACTGAAAATGTACCCATTTCGCTCCTTTTGTCCCCGCGGTGGTCATAAACGACGAAAGTCCGAAGTAAATTATCATCATTACCGTTTTTTTGCGGTCAACGTTTATAACTTAATAAGTGTTAACGGCATCGCACAATCGTGATCCGCGATGTCCGTTTTCATTTATACAAATAACAATCATTGTAAAATAATTGGCAATACTATTTTTATTCTATGATTGTAGACCATTATTAATACGGATTGAAACGCGTTTTATGCGCGCAATTACATCAGATTAAAAAAAAGAAAAGCGTTTATTTTTATTTTTTTTTTTCTTTATACTACGTCTTAAAACAGTTTATAATGGCTAGGTAGAGTAAAGAATATCGTATTATTGTCTATACAAGTATTGCCAACATTGGTCCACGTATTGATTGAAGTATCAGTCAGTGTTCACTGCAGCTCTATATACCAGCAGTCTTTCTAGACAGAGTCGCGTTTAATTTCAATATTACCGAAATGCATTTCGGACGAAAAATTAATTATTCGGACGATCGCCTCCTACCTATAAGCAGATATATTATCATATTATATTAGAGATACCTACACAGGTAGATTTAGATAAACATTATTTTCGATTATGTAATGAATTAAAACCTACAGTATTTTAACGTCATCGCAAAACTATATCAGTAAATAATAAATTCCGATGAACTTGCGTACATTGCACACAAAATGTTATATCCCTAGGTACCTGAGTCTGATTAAAACTGCTGAAATTATCGTGATAAAAACATACAGATAGGTAGGTATGGAAAAAAAAAAACAACAAAAATGTAATTAACCGTTCGAAAAAGTAAACGGAAACGAAAATCTTGTCGAATTTTTGAACTCGAAAATTCAAAATAATTTGATCGTCCGTCCATCAGTACCTATATCAAATCGAAAGGAAAAAAAAAACAGTAAGGCGATGATGAGCCAATGACTCACCAACGCTTGCTTAGTGCAATTTTTTAAGTACCAATACAATAGACATTGTATACACAGTAAATTTAAATAATACGACGTAGAGTGTAGACGGTATGCTACGTATTTCGATAAAATGATACAATATTTTGTTCCATTATTACATTAAGTTACATATCGCGGTAATTAGCTATGAGATTTTTTTGAGAAAATATTACTGTTATAAGTCGAAAATAGAAAACAAAATCTAGTATCTAGTGTATCATATTATTATAAGGAGGAATTTATTTTTAGATTCTGCGCAGAGTCATGGGTTTTACGTATCTATGTGATGTGGTTATTATTATTTTTTTTCTGGCTGTGAACAATTTTTTTTTTCACCATAATCTTGCTCCGATCAAAAAATGACAAGAGATCTTTTTTTTTGCGTGTAGCCAGCTAACTGTCGAGGTCATTTTTTGATTTTCCAAGCAATTTTCATAATCAATAATTGAGAAGATCGGAAAAAAAAAAACAAAAACATAAAAGAAATACTGCCAAATTTACGGAGTTAAACGAATTCAGTATTTTAAATTTTTTTTTTTTTTTCTACCAGAAATCTTGCGCCCAAAATTCAATCGCACCATTTGTTTTCTTGCGATATTATTTTAAAATTTGGTAATAATATAACGAGTTATAACTTATAGACGCCCGCGGTCTATAATATGCAACCTCATGGTGTCCGTTAACCCGCTGTTCCGCAGAGAAAAATAAAAAAAAGCCTCAAAGTGTAAAGAATCCGTGCAGTTTTACGGACGTTATGAACTCGAATGTAGGTTATGAGTAGCCAGTATGTGGTAAGCTACTTGAGTTAAGACGCCAAGTTAATAAATAATACCCGATAGTACAGTATTTATTCTTATCTACGAACCGCTATAATAACTTAACCTCATATGCGTATTATAATTTACACAGCATTTTCGATAAACGAATCGTATACCTAATTATATAATATAGGGCATCGACTTTCGAAAATCATTAATAGGCCGTCGCCCAAGTGCAAAAATCTAAAACGCCACGCGCTATGTGTAGATACCTGTATGTAAAAATAAAAATATACCTTCGCGTTCTATTATGATTTATGCGACTACACATGATGTCATGATGACGAAATAGTAAATACTTAAAATGATTGAGACTATCTAACTGTGTGTCTATAGTCTCTGTACTTTAAACCAGGTAGCCATTCAAAAGACGAAATAATACATTTAACAAACATAGGTACCTACTAATTTAAATTTAAACAACACTAATCAAAAGCCCCGGATTTCTAAGTCTTCGTGCCGAAATATGAACAATAATATAGGTACCAATAAACATTTCAAATGTTGAACAAATTAAGAAGTGAATTCAAAACAAAATCAATAAGCTATCACTATTGGTTAAAAACTATTGATAGCTAAAACCTACGTCGTTGTTAAAAATTTAATAATAATTAATTAATTAATTCGCATCATAAATAACAAATTGTATACACAATATTGATACCGATTAATTTTTAATTTAATTTGAAATACGTGAACCGAAAGTTTATGCATATGCATACGTAGGAAAGGTCAGTGGTCTTTGCCCCCGCCAAACTCAGTCGAGCCTTCCAAATCAAGATGTTATCAAGTAGAATATACTACTCAGGTATATATATATGTAAACAATATTATTGTTTAAAAAAAAAAAATTCGCAAAAATGTGCCTTTTTCCGCAACGCACAGACCCCACCCCCACCCCCACCCCCCTTAAGTCCCCTCCCCCAAATAATAATTGGGCTATTAGCACCTATGTGTTTAAGCGTGCCATATCCGTCCTAAAAATATAAAATGTAAAAATAGAATATGCCCCAGTGTTTTAAATAAACAACGAATTTTAAAATTGTTTAAACTGAGAAACGTTGCTGTGTTTTAAAAATGATTCGAATAGACTTAATAGCTTAACATTAATAGACTTAATTTAATTTATAGATATATATATATATATAGGTACCAAGTTTTGCTGCACGTGTAGATAAAAGCACAAGAAAAAGCTAATTAACAAAAATCATAGCCATTTTCGTAAATATATACCTGAGTCATACAACTTGTAAGTAATCCTATAACAACTATAGGTAAGTTATAATTGGGCCTCCATTGTAATATATGGTACACACAACGGTATAATTGGAAGCATTGGTATATTACAAATACAAGTAGGCACGTTATAAATTCAACGGTAGAACTATAATATTATTATAGGTATTTGGAATATTAAAAATTGTTAATATTTTAAATCAATGCCATAATGGCATATAGGTACATATAAATTATAATTGTATATAAGTACTTACGAATATACCGACGTCTTTCAAATCTCTATTAAACTTCATGGAATTGTGATTATAAGTGAAGTAAGAGTCCAAAATTGATTCTATTTATTTAAAAATATTTCAAATTGCAATCAGTTGCACCACCCCACCAACAATCGTCGTTTGATGATAAACTGCCAATGAAAGAATAATGTTATCTTAATTTGTACATAATTAATACAAATACCTGCTAGAGATAAAGAAAAAAAAATTTGCAATTTAGATTTTAAATTATATCAATAGGTACTACTATTATTGATAATAGATGTATCGTTTTATTCGTATACTAGATTAATAACAATAATTAAATAGTAGATAAAATGATAATATTTTCACCAATAAAAATAAAAATCATATCTACCAAAGTCAAACTGTCATAACGCTATTACCTATAATCACTTGCACATTTGTTATTTGTTTTATAAATCAACAAATAATTAATAATTAGCCGAACGGATAACCAATTGTAATTAATAGATAACTTATCAATAATCATTAATCAGAATACATACTACCTATCAGTTATTTTATTATTTTACAATAATAATAAATAATGATTTGTGTTCGAAATGTTTTTACGGAGCTTATATTATAATTATTTCATATAAGCTTAAAACAGTTACAATACACGTTCACTATTAATATTTTTATTCCGATTTTTTTCTTCTCTAATTTGTTCAGGGTTTCAACTGAAAACTGTTACTGTTAAAATTTTAATGGTTTTCTAACTTAAAAAACATTATAGGTATATGTTCTATTTCTTTATTGTATGTTTTATATACATTGGTTAAGTTTTCAAATTTTAAAAAACATATCGGTAATTTATTTGTTCCAAAAAAATTATTTTTTTCTCCGGAAGAAGAGAACATGTAATACTCGTTAATTTCTCGTTAACAATTTTTCTTCCAGAAATTTTGCTTTAAATTTTCAGATGTTGCACTTTTTCTGAAAGGAAATCTAACTAGGACGGTGCTTTAGAGAAGTCATTTTTTTTATTTTCTCAAGATTTTTCATAATAAATGAGAAAAAACGTGAGAAAACGGGAAAATTTCAAATCGTAAATATTACGGCCTTTCAAAACTTGTATAACCGACTCCGCTCAGATTTGTTTTTCATTAGCAATGATTAATCTTTGCATATAGATACACATTGCATTTCTCCTCTGTCTTCCCGACTTCGCACCCTCAACAGTGGCCCGCCCATCGTGCGAAGTATGTCAGTTTGTTATTTTTAAATTGATTTAATTTAAATTTTTTACAGTTTTATAGTTTAAACCACGAATTAGGGTAGTTATGGATCTCAATCTAAATTATTTCCCTAGAATCTGAATGACAGTCGGTAGGCAATACATTATAATTCAGTGATTCAGTCTCCTAGATTGAACATGTTATTGATATTTTAATGAAGGGAGTAGTGACACTAAATTTCATAATTAAAGTTTTTTTTTTTTTGTTCTTCGTAGTAAGTTCTTATTCACTGAAATTGGCAACCATTAATCATGGAGTATTTAAAAGAAAAACACATTTCTGTTTGGGCGCGTGCCGATTTGATTTTTTTCTTGAGCTATCTTATCTTGATTCTCTTGAGATATCTTATCTCATGGTATATTTTTGTGCTTTTTGAGCTAAAGCTGCAGTACAACACTGTTATAATTGACAATTTAAGTTTAATTGGGTTACCTTCACTATGGCTATTCGATATAAATTGTATGTTTCAAAAAATAATATTATAACCTATCGTAATCTTTTATAAGGTATATAGAAGTTATTGCTTCATTATGTATTTTTTATTATTACTGATATAATACAAGATCTACCATATGGTTATTTTAGGTAAATACTTATTAGAGCATTATGTTTGTGTATTTGTGTTAAACCCAACTTTTAATGTGCAACTAATACAACATTTCGTTTTATATTAAATTTGTCAACCGCTTTATTTTGTTAGATTTCCTAGGTTTATACCACATTATACATTCGAACAATGCCATTCCATAAATATCTTATTTTTCGTGTAAATCCGCAATTATTATTATCCTTATAAATACCCACTGTAAAATTTGACCACGGTCCAAGGCGGAATCAAAACACACCAAAATAAATTCAATTTTAAATAAAATACGAGCCTATCTAATAAATTGAAAAACCTGTCTGTATTACCACGTTCGTTATTTCCCAAATACAAAAATTCCGTTTAATTAATGTATTAAAATATTATATAACGCAAATAGTTAAATAGTAGGGATGGGTCGATACCACTTTTACCGATATCCGATATTCCGATATATGCTGCTAATATAAAACCGAGATCCGATATTTGAAATCGAAAACCATGGTTGAAACTAACCGATATATTGGTTACAACCCGATTTGTTAATACTTTTTTCATAATTCAAAGACTAATAGGATTATATCAGGTCGAATATAGGTTTTTTTGAAAAAAAAAAAAACGATACCACCGATATCGGCCGATTTCAACTATCGGTTTGTGTATCGGTCCACCTCTAATAACTAGGTACAATAAATAATTAGCTTTTTCAGTAATAGGAACTGTTAGTTTAAAAAAAAAAAAAATACTATATCTACTAGATCTACTGTAAAATTGATGAAATGCGAAAATTCATCGTATTATATTGATTTTAGTTTGGTTTTTGGAATTTTTAAATGTGTACTTAAAGCTTTACTTATAGTTTGTACCTATTTAACATTTACGAAAATTAAAATAATCGCAAAATGAGCAAGGTAATCGAAATAACCTGATAAGTCGTAGAGGTGGCCGTCGTCGAGATAACTCAATTACACCTATCTCAATATCACTAATTTGTACCTAGTTAACAGGATCATTAATTAACCTATAATACCAAATTTGTTGATATAGTATTATAAATATAAAAATACATTATCTATAGATAATTTTTTTTATGGAGACGATTGTAATACGGTCGCTTTATCCACGAGCCATTAATGAGCTTGATTAAATTAATTGGCGAGTATTGCATAGTGGTCACTGGCCAATTTATTTATATTAGATAAATTAAATTAAAAATAGATTTGAACGCGATAACTTTTAGAAATAGAACAAATGTCTACAACAATCAGTCTTTACTTGGTTGTTACGAAATTATAATATTGTTCCTATTGATTTTAATCATATATAAAATTACATTTTAAATTATTAAATCGATAGTTTGAAAGCACTTGAATTTATCAAATGTATCTCCTTAAATTGGACTGTTCATTAAACTCATTAAAAATACACTTTTGCTCTTTAGTCCGAATAATCTTAGAGTACGGATCTGTTATTTGGGACCATGGAAGGTGGAATACATGAAGTTGTTTAATTTACACCTGTAACCAACGATAAACCATTGCTATCAAAAAACGATTCGGAGCGAAGGTCGGTTATGTGTTATGTGTTTTGAAAGGCCGTATTATTTAAGATTTTAGACAAAATTTGATTTTAAAAATACTACATTGCACTCAATTTTTTTGATCACTAACTACGATTTATAATGAACCTTCTGTAAATTTTTCAAACATTTTTGTGAAGTATAACAATTTAATCTACAGCCAGACAACCTACTAAATAAAAATTACGTAAAAAACTAGCAAAATTAAAACGTCTGTAATAGCTCAAAAATGGCACAAATGTTTTTAAAATTTTACTACTTCTAGAAAAATCAAATGAAAGTTTTCTGTCAAAATTTCAAGTCTCTGCGAATATCTTTAACTGAATCACATAAAAAAAAAAAAAATTTTAAATAATAAATAAAATATTAATGTCGTAAATTTTTCCGTTATTTCTTCGTATTTTTCGATTTTGTTCAATTATTAAGAAAACTACAGAGAGTAGTTTGATGAGAAAAACTACTTTTGTCATAAACTAGATTAAAAAATCAAAAAAAAAAGGTCACTTGTCGTATTTCTAATGGAGCAATATTTATGGTAGAAAACAAAAGCCGTACAAATTTATAATAATGCAATTTTGTGCCGTAATTTGAAAATAAAATCGTATATTTTGTCTTTTTTAGTTTTTCCCAATTATTATGAAAACTATTCATGATATCAAAAAACGATTTTCTTTGGCAGTGGCTATGTGTTAAAAGGAACAAAATCAATATCTTGTCGTTTTTCGATTGGAGCAATATTTCTGGTGAAAACATAAGTTGTAAAAATTTAAATCAATCGGTAACACAGCGGCGCACCGTAAATATTTGCTGTTTTACATATGATATTCTTTCGGGTTTTTTCAATTATTCAAAATAAAATTAAGAAATGTATAATACACGACAACTAGGCAAACTTTCCTTTTAGAAATGATATTATACGTCTATACTGTATAGTGCATATATCAGAGCAGGATTTCTTTAGTTGTTTACAGTCAGAAAAAAAACACACATATCAAAATCAATAGATCCCTCGCTACATTGTGAATCTAAAAAAACAAATACAATACAAATTAAAATAATAACACCGATAACGGGCGATAAGCTACCAATCAAATAAATTATAAGTAAGTTAATAATAAAGTAAAAAAAATATATTTAAAATTCTTAAATATGTCTAGCTAATAAGTATTGGTTTTACAATAATGTTTATTTATTTTTTTTATCTGTGAACAATTTTTATACCAAATATTTTGATCCAATTTTCAAGTGTAGCACGTTTTCTAAAAGGAATCTGACTGAGGTAGTACTTTAGGGAGGTTATTTTTTAACTTTCCTAGGAGTTTTCATAATAAATGAGAAAAACCAGAAAAAACGAGAAAATGTACGTACATCCGAATCGTTTTTCGTTTTAAACGATTATCGTTGAGTACAGATATAAATTAAATTCCCTTCTATATTCTACCTTCTCAATCTATCAATTCTCATCCATCGTGCGAAGTATGGCCATTTTTTTTCCTTTTAATTTTCAAGACAAAATTACTAAACGAATACTCATAGTTGTCGTATTTTTAAACCAATGTTAGGGGGGAGGGGGATATAATCTTTAACTTCTTATTACAGCGCACACCACTGTCTATAATATCTAAATACTATTTTTGTGACATACTTAGAAAATAAACGTTAAACATGTATAGATTAAGTTCCTATTCTTTAAAAAAGGTTTTTTTTTTTTCATTTTAA